ATCAGCTGCAACAACTCGTACTTATCATTTTTAAGTATGTGCCCCAAATATGCTGTCTTTCGCCGTTTAATGGTGGTCAAAATTTCTCTGCATCTTCCCATTCTGTGCAGTACCATTTGGTTCGTAATATGATCGGTCCATGGTAGTTTCAAAATTCTCCTAAAAAGCCACATCTCAAAAGCTTACAGTTTTCTCATTAAGTCAACATTAACAGTACAGGTTTCGGCACCATAAAGAAGAATATAGTGGATATAACATTTTACCATCCGATATCGGATTTGCAGATTGAGTCTTTAATTACTCAGAAATTTCCTCATCTTCAAAAAGGCTGCTCTTGATTGCTCTATTCTTGAGCGAATATCTGATTTCGGATTCAGATCTTCCATAATCCAGTCTCCTAAGGGCCGGTTCTACAATGCTAGTATATACTGAGAATAAAGTTATACTTGGAATAACTTCATTAATGATGTTCTACAAACAAAGAATAAGCTAGGAATAAGATAATCGGAGTATATGAGTAGAATAACTTTATCCCTCCAAAGTTTAGCAGATGTACGGAGTATAAATTTATACTGCATTTCTATTGGTCAGTCAGGGGTTGTCAAATCTGTAATATTTTAACCTTACTTTATGCCATTCAATGAACTGTGGTTTTGTTTGTTTGTATATATCATCGAGCAATAAGACAAAAGAGGGAATCTAATCGTTATGAAAAGGAGACCAAAAAAGTGGCCTCTGATGGCGGACATATCCGGAAATGCGAATGCGCCAAATTTAAATTTCATGACACTTGACAATAATCATACAGTGGTGTAGGGGTTCTAATTTATCTATTTATTTATTTTATATTACATAATATTTTATATTATATATTTATCTATTTATTTATTAAAATACTTTTTTTAACACTAGAACACAATAAAGTTTTAATTAATTAATAACGATAATAGTCTAAAATGTTAAAAAACTTCAATAGAAAATATAAATAAGCTTTCATGTGACAGTTTTGACAAACAATAACATCAACAATAACATAACCCAACTAAATTTGATTTCTTAAACAAGGAAAGAGAATATCTTTCCTTGTTTAAAGTGGCCTCTCAAAATAGCACTTCCTGTCTATCAATATGTTTACCCCATCGAGCAAAAAGATAAAAGAGGGAATCTAATCGTTATGAAAAGGAGACCAAAAAAGTGGCCTCTGATGGCGGGCATATCCGGAAATGCAAAGGCGCTAAATTTAAATTTTCCAACACTTGTTAACAATAGCTGTAAAATATTTTTCAGACAAGAAAGTTTTTATTAAATATTAACGATAATAGTCTAAAAAGTGACACAATTGGTAAAAAACTTCAATATAAATAAAATTCCGTGTGACAGTTGGGACAAACAATAACATAACCAAACTTAATTTGACTTCTTAAACAAGGAAAGAGACTGTCTATCCTTGTTTAAAGTGGCCTCTCAATATAGCACTTCCTGTCTAACAATATTTTTGTCCCCACTACCTTTACATTCCCTCTTTTATCTTTTTGCTCGATGGTTTACCCCACTATCTTTACATTCCCTCTTGTGTCTTATTCATCGAGCAATAAGACAAAAGAGGGAATCTAATCGTTATGAAAAGGAGACCAAAAAAGTGGCCTCTGATGGCGGACATATCCGGAAAAGCAAATGCGCCAAATTTAAATTTCATGACACTTGACAGTAATCATACAGTGGTGCAGGGGTTCTAATTTATCTATTTATTTATTTTATATTACATAATATTTTATATTATATATTTATCTATTTATTTATTAAAATTATTTATTAAAATACTTTTTTAACACTAGAACACAATAAAGTTTTAATTAATTAATAACGATAATAGTCTAAAATGTTAAAAAACTTCAATAGAAAATATAAATAAGCTTTCATGTGACAGTTTTGACCAACAATAACATCAAAAATAACATAACCCAACTAAATTTGATTTCTTAAACAAGGAAAGAGATTCTCTTTCTTTGTTTAAAGTGGCCTCTCAAAATAGCACTTCCTGTCTATAAATATGTTTACCCCCACTGCCTTTACATTCCCTCTTTTGTCTTATTGCTCGATGGTCTTATTGCTCGATGGTATATATAAAATAAAATTTTTGATATTGCACAAACATTTTAGATTGTAAATCCATAGGAAATTTTATTAGGCAATCCAAAGGAAAAAGAAAGCATTTATTATTTCAATTCTAAAATTTTAGGATATGTATGTAATGTAATAATGTCTACACATATGACTAATATAATCTATATTCTTTGAATATAGTGGTATAATCTTACCAAGGCAATATATTTTTTAATGTTTTGATAACAGAGACTATAATTCTAGAATCTGTATTATATAAACATTTCTTTAACTAAAAATTATATATTTTGTAATCCAATATTTATACTTGTTTAAAATGTGGAGTACCTATATAGATATATTTACATAATTTTGGTTATTATATTACAACACTAATCTCAGTTGATGATACCTTTCAAAATCAGGGTGTTGAAAGTAAGAGTGTAAATAAAGTCATATAAAGAAGGTAAAACCAAGGAGTTCATAAATGGTTTTTGATTTTCACTACAGCACTGAAATAAAAATTGAGAAACCATGGGTTAGGAAATAACTTAGTACAGAAACAGTTGCAATATATTTGAGATACAATAAAATGTTACAATATAATATATCTATTTTATTAATTCAATGCTAGAACCGCTTCCAGGCAACTTATCTAATATCTCCTTTAGCGCAGCAGTTTGTGTATTTATTGCAGTAATCTTGTTTTGTCTGAAAATATTTGCTGGAACAAACCTAATATAATATAATGTGAGTCATGAGGAACTATACATACTCCTACCTCGTACGGAAAACCCTATGGGAAATAACAAGTAACCAGTAAAAAGTGCAAGGGAAATTGTTATTTTATAAACACCTGACATTCCAGTTTGTCTAATTTGTAAAATTTTTGTTAAAGTTTTTAAAAACCATAGGTTGAGATTCTTTCATGAACAGAACAAACTATTTTTTTTAAACCGGACCTGACTTTATTTCTAGTTTAAATGTGATGTTTAGTGACATGTTTGACCAAAATATGAGACACATCAAATTTACAATTCAAAAGCTATGATGAATAGAAGTCAGTCAAAATTGACAACTCGCAGTGTATGTTATTAAACAATGAGAGCGAAACTTTTTAATGGTCATTTGTTATTCCCCATAGGGTCCTCCATACAAGGTTGGAGTATGTCCTGTATTAACTAAGTACTAAGTAAATATTTTACACTTTATTTCTCAACTCTTGTTTTAAAATTTGAACTTCAAACTGACATATTTTCTCTTTGTGGTTTTCTTCAAAGACTCCCACTTGCTTCGAAGGATTTTAGCTGTCCTTCCTGTATCACAATTGGAATTAAATTTTATGATAATTTTAACCACTCCTCATCTTTCATGGCACTTGTTGTTGTGTCAGTTTTCTTACATTCTAAAAACAAAATATAAATACTTAACCCATAGATACATATTTTTTTACATACCTATTATTTCTTTATGTTCTTCAACTAAACTCACAAGCATTTGAATTTCTGTATATGTAAAATTTTTACATCTTTTTTTATCCATTTTATATTAATTTTGTAAAGTATAATAATATAAACGTAGATAAAATACCAGATAAAGCGAATCAATCCTTTCAATGGTAAAGAAATTTTACAGTTATGACAAATGCCAAATGTCGCTATCAATAACAATTTGAACTAATTTTGAAGATATCAGATCTACTATTTCGTTTTACCTTAGTGTTCTGTGGTTATACCCAAAATAACTATCCGCTGTCGATTTAACAATGTAGAACGCTCGAAAGGTTATACTTGGAATAAACTTAAGTATAAGTTATACTCAGAATAACTATTCTCCAATTTATACCTGGATTGTAGAACCGGCCCTAAGTATTTCATTTTGTCCACTTGCTCAATATCTTCATTTTTATCTGGATCCTTGTAATGACTTTGCCCCTCTTACTTATAACCATGGTTTTTGTTTTCTTTATGTTTATTGTTAAACCAAACTGTTCTCCAGTATCACAGACTGTGTTTAGTAACTTCTGCAGGTCTGTCTCACTTTTAGCGATAATGACTGTATCATCAGGATAACGAATGGTATTTATATTTTCACCATTTATCTTGATCTCTTCTGTACAGTTTTCAAGTGCTTGCGTAAATAACTCTTCGGAATATATATTAAATCGTACTGGTGAAAGTACACAGCCCTGTCTCACTCCTCTACTTATCTGTTGCGCATCCGTGCTATTTATATCTAATGTTATCACAGCCTGTTGGTTCCAATAGAGATTTCTCATTATGTCATTTTTGTCGAGTCCTTTTCTCTTTAGACATTCCATGAGAATGTTATCTTTTACTTTTTCGAAAGCTTTCTCATAGTCTATAAACGCAACGAAAGGATATTTTTGTTGGTCTCGACATTTTTGGGCAAGAGTTGTGAAACTATATAGAGCTTCCACTGTTCCGAAGCCGTTAAAAATGTTTTAATACCTGCGACATTAAGCTGATTAATCTATAGTCATTATAGTGTTTGGGATTCTTGGGTTTTACGTAGCGGAACAAAGATCGATAGCAGCCATTCTGTAGGTTTGTATATGTTGTTAAAGAGTATAGTTATTGCACTTAAATTGTCTTCGACTAGCTTAAGTTTAATCAGCTCGATATGAACTTCATCTGGCCCAGGGGCTCTGCCAGTTTTGAGTTGTTTATACATGTTCGCGGTAAACTCTTAAACAACATTCATTTTTTCATCAATGAATATATCGCCTTTATCAGTTAAATTTGTCAAAACGGTTTGATATTTGTATTATATCATATATTCATTTGTACTGTTAGTTATTTTAGGTTTTAGTGTTATCTCACATGTTAGTTACATGGTAGTGTAAACAAAAATTTACGTTCTTTATTTTGGTTTAGCAATTTCCGAGATCTTGGATAAAATAGAAGCCGAGGTGGCGTTATACCAAATAAGCTGCAACAATAATATAGAAAACGTCAATCAGAAATATCACAATTTGGACATTTTGGTGAAAGAAGCCTCGTCGATATGTCCAACCGTCAAAGATCCTCTAAATCACCACGATTGTTTGGTGTATATCTACACTTCCGGAACTACTGGTCTGCCAAAAGCTGCTGTGATCACTAACTCAAGGTAAGGATTTTTATTTTTTTATTATATCTTTTAAAGTTCTTCATTTGTTTTATTTATAAAAATGAGATTGCGAAGAAGTTTTGCCAATGTTGAGGCAATATGCAAGATGTCCAAAAAAATGTACAGGATTTTGTTTTTATGATACCCCTTTTGGTCACATATACACAGTGTTAATTTTTTCTTTAGTATGTATTTGCAATTGTTTTACTTGAATCAATAATGAAATTCCAGATACGTCTTTATAGCGGCTGCAATAAACAAAATGTGCAATTTCAAGTCTTCTGACGTCTTCTATACGCCGCTTCCTTTGTACCATACGGCAGGAGGGTGTATGACAGTAGGGCAAATGTTAATTTTTGGCGCCACTATCGTCATACGGAAAAAGTTTTCGGCGTCCGGTTATTTTTCAGACTGTCGTCGATATAAAGCTACGGTGAGTATTATTTCATTCAAGATTTGAGCATTTTTCTATATGTTATACATTGGTTCTGACACTTTTTGTAATCGATGATCACTCAAATGTGACTATCGTCACACTTGTACGAGGAAGAGCGAAATACAAAGGAGTAGAGAGTTACACAGGCGCTTAATCAGTCCTGATTTGTCTTAAGTGAATAGACACAAAACACGCAGAAAAGACATTACGCACCTATGAACTGTCGTTTATCACGCGACACCATACATAGTCTAAAAAACATAATATTTTCAGAGTAATATCCCTATCTTCAACCACATCTTAAACGAATTACTTTCATTATGATCTAGGGAATACATAAGACACACTAACTTGTTTTATTTTCTATAATTGTCCAAGAAAAGAACTCATTTCACTTACATTAAGGCTGTTTTAGCAGTCAAAACACACTGCGATTTGAAATGGGCGTATCACTTACTTTTCCTTACTGCTTACGCCAGCCGACGACGGGTACAGCTGTTTTCGCAGTGGCGCCGGCCGGCGGGTAGTTTAATGACAACAAATGCATTATTCTCCATTCAAATTACTTTTGTCGGGAATACCTTTTTTGTTTGATTATCGTAGATGTTTTAAAGATAATTATCACATTTTTAATTTATATGTCTTAGCTAAATATAGTATTGAATAAAAATTTGTGAAACGTGACTTCAAAAAACAACATGGTGTTTACTTATAATAAACTTAAAATAACATAAAAATATTATTATCAAAAAAATACAATTTGTTGTCACAAACAAATAAACAATTTCGCAGTTATAGCTTGAAAATGATTTCAAATCAAACTAACTGACCGTACGTTCATGAGATTTGACGTCACGCAGCCAATAACAGTGAAACTAAATGCCAATGATGAGTAACACGTTTCACTATTAGATTTCAGTATTTTTTAGCAATTTTCTTCAAAGTTTGAACATGCTTTTTTCGATTATTACTGTACATAAAAAGGTGAAAAAAAAATCAACGATTACAGAAAAAAAAACTCTTTCAAGTGATGGGCGTAAAAACTTTGGTTATAATAGAACGTTAAACTACATAATCCGATATTTCAAAAGTACTTAAAAAAAAATTAAAAAAGTAAAACCATCAGTTTAAAGGCAACATCATTTTGAATAACGTGTTCAAATTTCGAGACATTTTGTCGATAAATAACAGAGAAAACACTGTATCTAGGTTTTGGTGTACCGATAAAACAGCCTTATGAAGCTGATTGAACAAATAAAATCATTGATTACTGACAGCACAAAATCTGCAAATAACTTTCTCTACATACCGACATTCCTATTCAAAGTTTTAAATAAGAACTTGACTATGGGGCGCAAATTTATTTTTCAAATTTGTCGCAACAAAAATTGGACCTTACTAGGGTACTGAACATAGGTGTAGTTACTTACTTTCTAAGGTAGAAGTAGTTTCTATTCTTTTATAGTATAGCATTATTATTTAAAAACACTTAATACACAATAGAGTTAATTGTAAAACCCACAAAAATAATAATCCGCTACTAAACTCTTGCATAGAAGGTCATTATATTAATATTATTTCACAATTTGGTAGATGCTCGCGCATATTTCCAGTACGCCCCCTAACGCTTGACGATTTATCCAATTTTAAGCAAAACAATTACGCTATACTCCATTCCACGAATATACGACTGTTTTAAATTCGGGTTTAAGGTGTCGATTTAAATGGTCGAATGTACTGAATTGTACAATGGTAAATTCTCCCCATTTTTAAAATACTGTTATGAAAGATATAAAGCTTAGATGTAAATAATAAGTCATGATATAAATATAGAGTTGATAGTTTATAGAACAGTTGTAATTCAGATTTTGAAGTATATAATTACTATCAGTGAATTTAGTATTAAGTTGTTTTTTAAATTAAGTGATTTAAACGAAGTGTAACAATACCTAACTGATAGTGTAATTTATGTAGACGAATATTTAATTAGTATTAAAAAACAAAAAACTTACTTATTCTCTTATTCCCCTAATCGTCTATACTCCACTCAAAGCAAACAAATATTTAAAACTAACAAAGGTAAATACTAACTAAACTAACAAAGTGAAATATTAGATTCTTTTTCTGGTTTCTGAACCATCGTTCTGCCAATTTCCTTTCAATTATAATAAAAATAGTATATTTATTTTTATTATATTAGGTGGTACCTAATAAAGTAATAAAACAGAATAATATAAAAGAAACCCGGTACGCCTCTTTGGTGTTTACATTTCAGGGAAATTCAACCCAAATGTCTGATGAACATCTTTGGCTTATAGACGTGATTGTACTTATTTGAAGGAGCGTTTGCACAAAAATTTTTGTTATTTTCGGATTAAATTTCACATTAAATTTTGCGTCTATCTGAACATCTATTAACTGAAATAATTTTACTTTAGATGTCATACTATCATATATAATATCATAGATCGTTTTTATTGGAATAAAAATTTGACCAATTTACTTTCAAACTTCTACTTGCACAGTAAAATATTCATTGTCGCAATAATCCAAAACAGTCGTATATTCGTGGAATAACCTATATAATGTGCTTAACATAAGTCTACTTGTTAATTAAAATATTCTGAGGTTGATTTCGAATGACATTTAAATATTATAAAAAAATTCAGTATCAGTAATTCTATGTGTTGGGTATTTATCATTTTATTGTTGAACATGTCCCAACAATCTATCTCAATTTAATCTGTCTCGTATTACTTTGTACCACACTAGGGATTGCAATCCAGCAGCATTATCAGTCCAGCTGGATTTTTGCAAGATTGGCCTGAATCCAGCTGGATCCAGCAAAATGTGGAATCAAACTAAAAACACGATTTTAAGCTTAAACACGGAGTTAAGTAATATTTTTTTCTTTCATGGCTTACTGAGGACGAGTTCTTTTTTGGATATCATTATAAAAATCACTCTATGTTCGAAATTTCTAAACAACAGAAACATGAATTATTTAGTTTTTTGGAAGTAAGACCTTAAAAAACATATTTTATCTATCGTCTCATCGCCAAACCTACTTCGCACAGATTTGCACATATAGCCGGTTGCAGAGAAAGTTCTTGCGGCCTCTAGGCTGGTCGGTTTTAAGGTCATAAAATAGTCATAAACCATGGACAAATGATCGCCTTTCACTCTTTCGGTCTCATAAACGGTCATTTCCTTTTTCAAAATCTTTTCCTAATCTTTTTGAGAACCAGTTTTTTTGGTTATAAACGTGAGAAAGGTTTTTTCTCTCTTATTTCAGTTCAATCTCAAGTTTTTGTTCTAAAGTAAAATTCACAGGCTCAGGATTAGCTGGCATATCTTCTACTTCCATTATGTCCTCTTGCACTGTTTCCATAATCACTTGTTTATTTATACGACTTAACAAATTTTTCATCTCTTGCCGCATTGCATTCTTTTTCGGCATGGGGAAATAATCAGGATTGTTTAGTCCTTCGTCATACTCTTTTGGATTTTGTAAGTACACTAATGTACCGGTAATTTCAGATAGGCGCCGTTCCGCGATTCTGTTGCGTAGTGCTTCCGATAGCTCGACACTAAGGCTAGAGTCCTGGCTATTTAGTTTGTCTAAGACAAATTTCAAGGTTGTGTCGGCCGTTATCAAAGTGGACTCTCTTCTGCAAAGAGCTTCTACAGCCAGTTTCGCCGGTTGAAGAGTGGCGATCAACTCCTTGATTATTGACCACTTGTCAGCAGAGAATTTTATCGCAGAATCAATGTCTATCAACGCTTTATCGATGCAAACTTTTAGGCTGTAGAAACGTTCCAGCATACTGAGCAAACTGTTCCACCTGGTGCAGCAGTCAAGAATCAAACTTAATTCCTTGCCTTTCTCTTCCTTGACATAGTTTTGCAAGAATATGTCGTCTTTGGTAGGTGATTTTTTGAATGTTTTAACAACTTTTCGTATTTTCATGAGTAGATCGCTGTAACGGGGAATCAATTCAACAAGACTCGCCGATGTTGGTTCGATTGTTACTGCCAATCCTTCATTCATCTCTGTCTTCATATCTTCATTTTCGTCTTCATATTCATTAGTGTCGTCTATTTCTGTTTGTTCTACTTTGAGGTTTCTTTTTATACAGCACGTCTACTACAGCCAAGTGAATTTCATGTGCATAGCACAGTTGTTGATAGCAAGGCATGAGCTTGTCAATTTTCACCATTATGGATGCGCCGTTATTTGTGATACCAATGGTGTCGGATTCAATCATTAAACCAAAAATTTTCAACCGTTCTGCCACTAATTTAATACAGTGTTCGGCAGTGCACGAGCCGTGAATTCTAATCAAACCTAGATTAAAATGTTCTGCATTGTGCAAATTGAGATTTATGTATCTGTGATTTTTTTAGGAGATCCACTCGTCGAAGCTCAACGAAAATCTTTGTCCTTTTTGTTTTAAATTAGTAAATCCTTTTATAAGATTTGCTTTAACTTTCTATACATACCTGTAAATTATCGCTCTTATAGTGTTCGGAGAAGTTGGTAATTGGAATCCACTTTTTGCGAATAATCGTCTCAAGTCGGGTGGGGTACAAAATGAACTCAAGCTAAAACCATCTTTGCAAACCATCCTAGTATCCATATCTTCCATAGAATTTTCTCTTTCAAAATTTCAAAGTAGGAATCAATAGTTTTCTTCGACTTTTTGCTCGGAATTACTTCCTGTTTATCTTCATTTTTTGACGAGGTTGCTTTGGAGGCATTGGGAGCTGGTATAATAGTGCTGGTAATGGAACTTGAAGAAACGTTGTGTATCTTTTTCAGATGTTCTTTTAAGCCTGTTGTTGAGCTGTTGCTAATCAACAATTTTTTGAGCATAAAGAGCATCTTTCACTTCGCCCCTCATCCAATTTAGTGAAACTTCCCACAACTTTTTTTATCATCTTCAAGAGACGTTTTAATTACTATTGGAGTAACTGGAGCAGCATTAAATCTGAAGAAAAAAACATCTGTGAAATAAGGTGTAAATGGCAACGGCTATCTGAACGTGAGCGTGAATGAGAAAACAAGAACACCTGATATATGTGTGAGCCTTAGTCTAAGCGAAAAAGTATGACCACCGGCAGCCCTTTATAGACTGTTTCTTTATCTGAACGAGTTATATTTGCTAAATGTTTTAATTAAAAAAAAAACTAAAAATTAAGGGGTTACATAGGTCGTGAGGGTATAAAAAGGGACTTTTTAAAAAAATTATATGTCAAAAACTAAAAATTATTTTTATTTGTACCTAAGACACTACTTGAAGTACTCTGAAAAAAGAATTGCAACCAAAAATATTCATTTTTGTTAATTTCACAGTAATTTTTCGCCAACAGCCTTTTTCTTGCGGTGGACATGATATCTAGGTCTATAGTGTATTTTTATGTATGAGAGAGTAATAAAACAATAAATTATGTATGCAAATCCCTAAACTGTTGATACGGGTGACTCAATGAAAAACAGATATTTGTCAACAAGTTTACAGAAGTATATAGGAAAACAATTTTAAATTGAGTATGACCACCAGGTATAAAGGTTGGAGCAGAATAGAATACAATAGTTGTGAGGGTTACTAATCCCTAAATAAGGTTGCCAGTGTCGGAGTGTTGGAGGTTAACAGGTACTAATGAATTTGCAAGAAATGTAAGATGTTTATTTTATTGGTTATATATAACCAATAAAAGTTTAATAAGTACCTACCTATTTGCAAAATAAAGTTTAATTCTTTAGATAAAATAAAACGTTTTATTTTATCTGAAATGAGTGCATTCCACGAAGTAAGGGTTTCAACAATCAAACATTTAATTCTTTAATTCCAGGAATCTACGACAGTAATTGACTAGATAATTACCTTCTAAACTTATTCCACAGAAAATGTGATAGTGGGTTTTTCCATTTTGTAGGAAGGTCCAAGTGGCGTATTCAAAATTCTTAACAGTTCACTAAAAGTAGGTACTTCAGTTGCAAGGTGCAGTTTATTGTGTATACCAGTGTTATGGAAAATTTGGAAGTGCCGTGTAAACGCCGAAAAATTGGTCCTTTAACAGTTAATGAAAAAACATTAATATTTAATTGTTTTAAATCATTTACAGACAAACGTTTATGTGAAAGTGTTGATGAGACCGTTGAGTTAGTTAGCAGTACACTTGGTGTTGGGAAATCTACGATTTACAGAGTTATTAAAGAAGAGAAATGTGGTAGTTTTCAAATGCCACGTAATGCTCCAGGGAAACCAAAATTTCAAATAGAATATCATTTTAAAGAAGGACTTCGACGGAAAGTGCATGAATTCTTCTTTAGACAAGAATTTCCAACATTGGATAAAGTTCTTGTCTCAGTTCGAGCTGATAAGGATTACCCAGAAATAAGTCGAAGTAAGTTATGGAAACTTTTAAAAGAAATAGGCTTCCGCTGGAAAAAGAATCCCAGAAAGTCTATTTTATTAGAAAGAAGCGATATTGTCATATGGAGAAGACATTTTCTAAGAACCATAAAGGAAATAAGAAACCAAATAAATTTTGGCAGGATGAAACTGTTACAAGTCAAAGGCACGCTTTTGTAAATAACTTATCTACTGGTTTAAACCCACCATCAGGAAAGGGACGCAGGCTGATAATAGTACACATTGGCAGTTCAGACGGTTTTGTTGAAGGTGGTTTATTAACTTTTGAATCAACTCGTACCGGTGACTACCATGAAGACATGAACGCTGATGTCTTTCATGAATGGTTCGAATAAATGATAGATCTTCTTCCTAAGAACTGTGTAATAGTAAGGGATAATGCAAGTTATCACTCCAGACTTATAGAAGGACTGCCCACAACCAAGTGGTTAAAAAAAGACTTGCAGAATTGGCTGAGTTCAAAAAATATTACGTACCATCGCGGATCTATAAGAAAGGAACTTTATTCGTTGTGTGCCCTTCATAAAGAAAAATTTAAAAAATACGAAATTAATGAAATTGCCAAAAATCGGGGAATGACAGTACTTAGAACCCCACCATATCATTGTGAATTAAACCCGATTGAACTGGTATGGGCACAGATAAAGAGTGAAGTTTCAAGAAAAAATACCACTTTTAAAATTCATGATGTTAAACAGTTGTTTTTGGAGGCCGTAAATAATGTAAAACCTGAAAACTGGGAAAAGTCAGTAAATCACACTATTAAAGAAGAGGAAAAAATGTGGAAGCTGGACAATATTACTGATAAAATGATCGAGCCAGTTATTATGAATCTTGGTTCTGAAAGTTCATCTTCTGAATCTGATTTGGATTTGTAACAAGTAGCTGTAAGTTTTATCCCAGAATATTTTTATTCATCTATTTAACATACCTTAGACTGTTTTAAAAACTCTTTTTCTCTTTTGTAATTTTTAAAAATTAAAAAAAAATGTGAATTTTTTAAAACCCTTTTTAATGTAAGCCAGTCAGTTCTAATATAGTGTGTGATAAAAGAGGTCACTTTTGTTTACGTACACATAACACTTTATAACACTGAAATAATTCATTTATTTTTTACAATTATTCAAAGTAATTTTTCAATTAATCTTGAGCACGCCCATGGAGTGGTCGGAGATACCAGTTAAAATTATGCTAATTACTCTCTCGTTCATAAAAATAAACTATAGCTTCATCTGAAATCAAAAAATTAAAAATTTTCTTGTAGTTTGTACCTATGGCTAGTGAATAAACAAAGGAATTTTCATTAGGTCAAGTTGTTTTTGTTTTATAAAAAAAAAATACTTTGAAAATGGTCAAATTTGAAAAAATGAGTAAAAATTGGGGTCGAAAATGTGTTTAAACTTACGTAGAACCTTCAAATTTCATTTTTTCTTTAATTACTTAAAGTCTTCTCGCTATCAAAGTACTTACTGTACATGTATGTCCATTTTTTTCAATATTCATTAACAGTTTATTTTATATGTATACAGGCACAAAATTTTCACACACTATATCTGCAAACCCGTAAACATGCATTACAGGAACTGTCAAATTTCAGTATTGGGACGTGCAAGTACTTGGATGTGTTACGAGAAACGATCGTGCGCGAGTAGTGGAGAAATCTTGCATTTTTTACTGCAAGTTTCATAGATTTCATAAATTCATATTGTCAATTGTAGTATTTCATATTCGTTTGTTTATTTACACCTTCTGTCACTGAAGAAAATGTTATTTAGGAAATGCTGTGTTATAAATTGTAAAAATACAACAAAAAATTTTCAATTTAAGTTTTATTCGTTTCCAACTTCGAAGCACAAATTACTACAAAGAGAAGTGGATTTATATCATAAAAAAGCATAAGTAACATAACCTAAATTATGCATTATTCTTGCGCCCGATTTTAAAGTCAGTTTGAAATAAATAATAAATAAAAGTTCACTTTTAAGTGTAAATTTTAGTTTCATAACACTCACTTAGAGTTCATTTAAACCCAAAAATCAAGTTTAATGTTTAAATTTAATTTTTTTGAAGTTTACAAAAATGCATCAAGTTCAAGTTTTTCTGAAGATGCATTAAGATATATTCGCTGTCCAAAAGTTTACAGGGAAAGAATTAATTGTTCAAACCAATATGATGATATCATGGGCTTAACCTGCTAATTTATGCATTTATGCATTAGCATTATTTATGGTAATTTATTTTTCTTAATTCTTCCACATAATTCTTCCATTCTTTTTTGACATTTGCCGTGCTTGGTTGAAAAGTTATTTGGTGATTTACTTTCTCAAATCCAGTTTTTATTATTGCATCCATATTAACAGTAATGCTGTAATTTAATAATATATTTATTTGTATTAACACTACATACAACGTTTACCTTTTAATAACATACCGACATAAGTTCAATCTTACTTTTTCTTCTTATTCTTTTTTGGGGCTACGTCCTTGACAGTTATCCGGTAACCTCGATCTAACATGAAAGCGCAGTAAATTTTGCTGATTTACGACACCAGGTGTCGCTGTTCCGAACTCGCACGGTCCCAATACTTACACTAGCATCTATACGATCTTATCACAAATTTCTATGCGGCGCGCTGTTTAAATTTCATAATATTGCGTAACTTATATATAACACTAGGATATTAAGGGTTAATGAGATTTATTTCAAATAGTATTTGAATAATCTAAGAAATTTAGTTAGATATGAGATTTAGGAGACTTTTGATGTAAAAACAGTTATATATAATTTGTTTGTGTTTGTAGGTAGCACAATATATCGGTGAAATGTGCCGATACATCTTGGCAGTATCGCCAAGCGATAAGGATAAAAACCATAACATAAGAATGATTTACGGAAACGGTCTTCGTCCCCAAATATGGAGGGAATTCGTGGACAGGTTCAACATTCCTTTAGTCAGCGAATTTTATGGAGCAACCGAAGGAAATGCTAATATAGGTGAGTTTAGTCATTAAAAACAACTTCTTGATGCAGGGTTGTTGTTGTCGGTTCCCTATTCATCTCATGTGCAATAATATTTTGTATTATAGTGAACATTGACAATACGGTAGGAGCCATAGGATTCGTTTCAAGAATAATTCCGTCTGTGTACCCGATTTCCATTATAAAAGTAGACCAAAACACCGGAGAAACAATTAGGAACGCTAAAGGATTGTGCATGCCTTGCAAACCCAACGAACCGGGAGTCTTCATCGGCAAAATAATACCTAATAATCCGTCGAGGGCGTTCTTGGGCTACGTGGACGAAGAAGCTTCCAAAAAGAAGGTCGTTCATGACGTTTTCCATCACGGAGATAGTGCCTTCTTGTCCGGAGATATCCTCGTGGCAGACGAATTTGGAAATCTCTTTTTCAAGGATCGCACCGGGGATACTTTTAGATGGAAGGTAAGTTCTTTTCGTTTCATAAAAAAATTCCTTAAAATGATACCTTAAAACATTTCAACAATAATATTCAAATGGTGACAAAGGCGTGGCTATTATCATTACCTACAGTTAATGCCGTAGATCAAACTACAAATCCAAAGCAGAGTAAATATGCAATGTTATAGTTATTTATGCAGTAAATGCTATTAAAGTTTTTAAATAAGGCAAAATGGTTGTAGGAAATTGAAATCTGGCATCAACGTTCTAAATTTTGACAGTATAATAATGATATGCTGCTCAAAATAATACCATACTAATTTTATTTTTGTTGAGGCTCGAAAATGTCTCAGAATAATTGCATCAGCGCTCAAATTTGACATTATCGTAAAAATTTGGCATTAGCGCCCTAAAAATTGACAGTTTCATGATGTACTGCTCAAAATGTTGCCTTAATAATATTGTCTGCATTGTTTCTCGAAAATTTCTTGACTAAATAATGGCATTAGCATTCAAATCTAGTATAAGCGCCCTAAATTTTGACAATTTAATGATATTCTGCTCAAATTGTTGCCATACTAATTTTGTTTGCCATGTTATTCGAATATGTCTTGACTAAATGATGACATCAGCGCTCAAATTTGGCATTAGCCCCCGAAATTTTGACAATTTCGTAATATACTGCTCTAAATGTTGCCATAATAATATTGTCAACATTGTTTGTCGAAAATTTTTCGACTAAATAATGGCATCAACGCTCAAATTTGGCTTTAGTGTCCAAATTTAACATTAGCGCCCTAAATTTTGACAATTTCGTGATATACTGCTCAAAATGTTGCCATACTAATTTTGTCTAATTTTGTTTGCCTTGTTATTCGAATATTTCTTGACTAAATAATGACATCAGCGCTTAAATTTGGCATTAGCTCCAAATTTGGCATTATGTTGCCTTATTAATATTGTCTGCATTGTTTCTCGAAAATTTCTCAACTAAATAATGGCATTAGCATCCAAATCTAGTATAAGCGTCCTAAACATTGACAGTTTAATGATATAATGCTCAAAATGATGCCATACTCATTTTGTTTGCATCGATACTCGAAAATTTCTTGACTAAATAATGACATCAGCGCTCAAATTTGGCATTAGCGTCCAAATTTGGCATTGGCACTCTAAATTTTGACATTTTAATGATATACTGCTCAAAATATTGCCATACTAATTTTGTTTGCCTCGTTATTCGAGTATTTCTTTACTAAATAATGACATCCGCGCTTAAATTTGGCATCTGTGCCCAAATTTGCCATGAACGCTCCCTAAATTTTGATAGTCTCAATATATACTGCCCAAAATGTTGCCATAATAATATTTATTGTCTGTATTGTTTCTCGAAAATTTCTCGACTAAATAATGACATCAGCATTCAAATCTAGTATGAGCGCCATAAAGTTTGACAGATTAATGATATACTGCTCAAATTGTTGCCATACTAAGTTTGTTTGCCTTGTTATTCGAAAATTCCTTGACTAAATAATGAGATCACCGCTCAAATTTGGCATTAGCGCCCTAAATTTTGACAGTTTTATGATATACTGCTTAAAATGTTACCATAAAAATATTTTCTGCATTGTTTCCCGAAAATTTATCGACTAAATAACCGCATCAGCATTAAAATCTATCATCAGCGCCCTATATTTTGATATTTTATGATACACTGCCCAAAATGTTGCCATATTAATATTGTCTGCATTGTTTCTCGAAAATTTCTTAACTAAATAATGGCATCGGCATTAAATCTAGTATCAACGCCCTAAATTTTGATATTTTATTGATATAATGTCATATTTGTACTGGGAGACCTCAACGCCCAGATTGGAAAAGAGGACTTTTTACAGCAAATTGCAAGAAAGCATACAATACACGAAAACACGAATGACAATGGGCAAAGACTATGTAACCTAGCAACAAGAACAAGTTTGTTAATAATCTCAACAAAATTTGAACACCCTAAAATACGTAAGGTAACATGGAGGTCACCAGATCAGAAAACATATAGTCAAATTGATCACATAATGATTAATAAACGAAAACAATTGTCAATAAAAGATGTAAGAACGTTCAGAGGTGCGTGTGCAGATTCAGACCACTACATGGTCATAGCCACTATAAGACAAAAAGTAAAATTGAAACCAAACAAAAAAACCAACATAAAAAGTCGAATGTCAATAAATTGAGTAATGAAGAAGTAAAAAAAAATATGAAGAGGCAGTAGCAGTTCAAATAAAAGAGAAATATAAAGCAGAAGATATAAGCACAGAATGGAGACGATCAAACGGAAATAAAAAATAGAGAGGAAATAGTGATAATAGAGGACCAAGAATACAAGCAAGTATGGAGAGATTACTACAGAGAGCTGTTGACGGAGGAAACAACAGAAGAAGAAATGCATAACGAGGAGGAAATGGTACACGAAGAAGAAGCAGATGAAGTAGACATCGAAATTTCAAAACTAAAAAAACTACAGAAGTAAAAAAATACGGGAGAAGGGAACTAAGAGGAAAAATACTGGCACTATTGAAAAATATATGGAAAGAAGAGAAAATGTCAGGGGACTGGGAGGTAGGACAGATCATAACAGTACATAAAAAGGGAGACCCACAAATCTGTAAAAATTATAGAGGAATAACATTACTAAATACAATCACAATTGTATCAAAGATCACAAAGAAGACAGTAGGACAGTACCAATGTGCATTCACAGAAGGAAGATCTACAATAGATGCAATACACACAATAAAACAAATAATGGAAAAAGCAAACGAGTATAAATTAGAATTGGAAATGTTATTCATAGACTTCCAACAGGCATTTGATTCAATTAAAAGGAACGTATTAATGATAGCACTTAAAAATTAAAAATTCCACATAAACTCAGAAAATTAATAGAAATGACAATAAGAACTACAAAATAAGCAAAAGACACAAAGAGGAGAGACAGAGGAATTCAGTATAAATAAAGGGATGAAACAAGGAGATGCCTTATCAACAACGCTATTTAATCTAGCATTAGAATATGTACTGCGAAATATAAATAAAGGAAATCTCAGAACAAGAGGTGGTCAAATAATTGCATATGCAGACTATATTGCTATTATTGCAAAGAACAGAAAAATAATGAAAGAAATGCTTGAAGAAAATAAGAGAGAAAGGGGAGGTAATGGGGCTAAGATTAAATCAAGAAAAGACAAAAATATTAAGATTAGGGAAAAAACCAATGAAGGAAAAAATCAAAATAGGAAGTTCTGAGTTTGAAGAAGTAGAATACTTCAAATACCTAGGAGTTACAATAAGTAAATCCGGAGAAAGGAAATCCGAAATAAAAGAAAAAATATTAGCAGTGAATAAAGCTTATTTTGCAAACAAAAGATTACTTAAAAGCAAAACACTGACTAAAAAAAGTAAGATGAGCATTTATAAGACCATAATTAGACCAATATTATTATTAACAGGGGAAACAATGACGATGGTTAAAAAAGATGAAGAAGACTTAAGAATAGCAGAGAGAAAGATTATGAGAACCATACTAGGGCCAATCAGAACAGAGCAAAATGAATATAGAAGCAGAACAAATTCAGAAATTAAGGAAGAACTTAAGGAAGACATCGTAACTAAAATAAAGCAATGCAGTTAGATGGTTAGGTCACATTTGGCGAGCAGGCGATAAGGCAGTGACATACGCAATGATAGAATGGAATCCAGGAGGAAGAAAGAGAAGGGGAAGACCGAGATCAAAGTGGCTGCAAGAAGTTGAAGAAGACCTCCAAAGGACAGGAGTCAGTGAATGGAGAGGAAGAACTAGAGACAGGAAAAAATGGAGAGATATATGTATATGTATATATATATATATATATATATATATATATATATATATATATATTTATATATATATATATATATATATGTATATATATATATATATATATATATATATATATATATGTATATATATATATATATATATATATATATATATATATATATATAATGCTCAAAATGATGCCATACTTATTTTGTTTGTATTGATACTCGAAAATTTTTTCACTAAATAATGGCATCAGCGCTCAAATTTGGCATCCGCGCCCAAATTTAGCATTAGCTCCCTAAACTTTGACAGTTTAAAGATATATTACTCAAAATATTTGCCGTTCTAATTTTTTTTGTTACTAAAAAATTTCTTGGCCTAATAATGGCATCAGCGCTCAAATCTTTATTTTGACTACATTTATTTTTTTCTCTTTGTAATTTCTAGGTTTTCCTCTATGGATACCTCACTCCAAGATCAATAAAAACTTAGTATGTGTAAAAATCCCTTAAACATTTGTTGTGATGTGTCGTTCTCCTGTTCTTCCCTAAATATCTTCTGCACTTCGTGACTCAAAAACAATTTTTTTTTCTTAAAAAACCGGCAGTTCTCAACTATAAAATTATATGCCAGGGGTATCGCAAAGTATTGAACTGTCGGAACAATACATTCAATATTCACATACCAGGTATTTTCAAAAGTATTTTCCACATCAACATACTCGAAATATTCCTTCATTTAAATAAAATTTTAGGGAGAAAACGTTTCGACGGCGGAAGTAGAAGCAGTGATTAGTAATTTAGTAGATTACAAAGACGTTGTAGTTTTTGGAGTTGAAATAAGAGGACAGGAAGGCCGCGCCGGAATGGCGGCTATTTTAGACCCGGACGAAAAAGTCGACATGACTAGATTGATGGCGGGCCTGAAGAAAACTTTGCCTTCCTATGCAAGGCCTATTTTTATTAGAATCTTAGGTAAAATAGATCTGACAGGTAAGTGAATGTTTGTATTTTTATGAAATAGCTATAAGAAATAAAATTGTGTGGATAACTTAAATAAAAGATATATTTTGTGTTAGTTTTCTGTGATATTTTTTTAATATAGTTCACTTTTTTGGTTAATACATTTGATTAACACACTTTATAACTTTTATCCTGTCCGAAAAGTTCATTTTGCCCGAAACCTTCACAATGTAGGGAAGAATCCGCGTTGACGTCATAGTTTCTTTGTGAAACGGCGATTTCCGAGACTTTTTTTTGTCATGAAAGTCACATAGGACTAAATTTGGCGATTACTATGGTTGGTCAATAAATTCGTATCCCATTGGTGTAATTTTATCTGAGCAAACGCCACCGAACAGTAAGACTGGTGTGAGAAGAAGTCTCAACTGGAAGGAGACCACGCGAACGCCCTCGTCTCCGGTGTCGAGATAATATAGCAGGAGACCTAAGCACTATGGGCGTGGAGAATTGGATGGAGGTTGCTCAAGACAGAAAACAGTGGAGGCATGTTGTCGAGTCGGCTAAAACCCACGAAGGGTTGTAACGCCACGGAGTAAGTAAGTAAACGCTACCTTTTGGGCAGAAGATAACGCATGTGGTTTGTTATACAGTGTGTCCAATTAAGTTGGATCTTTACTGATGGGACTATCGTCTTAAAAATACAGACTTAACTGTATAGTACTGTAAAATAAGTGTTGAAAAGTTACCAACTATATCCTTACTGTCTCCTATGGGTAATAAATAAAAAAAAATAACAATAGTGAAACAAAGTCGTAAAAATAAAATATTTTGGTAAAAAAATTATTGCACACAACAATAGTTACTTTAAAATAAGTATTTCCTAAAGAACGTGACAGAAGCGGTCCTCGGAGCACATTCGGTCCGGTTTATTTAGACACTATTTGACATTTTAAAGTTTTGAGAGACGTCATACGTAGGATGACAGATGTCAAAGAGAAGCAATTCGTTCTCACCTAACGCCATGATGCAAACACTAGATTAGTGTTACACCAAGTCTACATTGCCTAACAAAGAAAATTTAAGTTTTTTTTTCTACAAAAAAACCTATTTTTGGAATTCATTTTCATCTAACGCCATCTAGGAAAGACTAGATTAACCATAGACAAAGTCTACGTGGAAAAACAAAGAGAAGTTAAGTTTTTTTCAACAAAAATACCTATTGTTGAATTGATTCTCATCTAATGCTATCTAGAAAAGACTAGATTAACCTTACACAAAGTTTATTTGTGCCACAAAATAAAAGTTAAGTTTTTTTTGTTACAATATTTTTCGCAAATTTCATATCTTCTTTTCATTTCATTCATTATTAATAAGCAGAAAAAGATGAGGGAACGGATTATAGACTCCGACAAACTTGAGTTTGGGAATGTGACGTCGTGTTTCGCGTAGAAAGGCGGACCGTTTCTACAGTGGCGGACGGAAACCGGTAGCTTTAAAATAAATTTTTATAAGTATATTCAATTATTCAAATAAGTGAGAATGAATTTGTCAATTTTTATTTTTATAGTTTTTAATATTTGTGAAGTTTATAGTCAGGCATTCAATAAAACAATGAGTAAACTATTAGGAGTACTTTAATAAATAACAAATTCCTCAATACTTACAATTTATTAACATTGCCAGGAAGGAAGAAAGGGTTTCAACAACTCAAAAAAAAATAAGTAATTTATTTTAACAAATTAAATAATGTATTTATTTTATAAAAAAATATGGATTTTAAAGACTTCTATATTTTGTTATATGACAAAGGAGTATCACACAAAAACACATCTATTCCGAAATTTAATTACTATCTTCATCATCAGAAAAGCTTTCTTCGGATGAACCAGTATTAATAAAAATTTTAAGTGGTCCAGCGTAGAGTCTAATAAATGTTCTCTTGCGATTTGAGTGTTTTCATATTTTTTTACGTGTTTACATATTATTATGTTAGCCCACTCTTCTATCAACACTTCTGAAAATTTTGCTCTTGTTATATTTTCAACATCATTTATATTAAATGTTGTATTATGAGTGGCCACTCTACCTTTTACCAAAGCCCATATTTTTTCAATAGGGTTTAACTCTGGATGATAAGAAGGCAAGCGAAGTACTTGATGGCTATGTTGTTCAAGCTTATAGTCATAACACATAAACTGGTGGAAAACGTGGTTTATTGGCTTGAATAATTTTATATCATTCCGGTTTGGTCAGATTTTCTTGAAAGGGAATACTTTTTTCTTGTAACCATTTTACCATAATATCCCTACGGCTAGCAGACGTCACATTTTTTTCGATTAGTACATTATGGTAGGATGCGTTATCAACCACCAAGATCGAATTTTTAGGTAAGTTAGGTATAAGCTGACTTCTGACTCACTTCATAAAATTAGATGTTCATATCGTCATCGTAAAAGTCATATATAACATTTTTGATGATTTCTTCTTCTCCTTGGTCCAATTGAGTTTTTTTAACACGAGAACATTTTCTTTTTCAACTTGTAAAATATGAAATAGTCGCTCCATTTTTATTAACTTCTCTATCTTCTTTTCTTATTTTGGATAAGGTGTTTTTACTTATACCTGTAGCTGCTAGAATCCTATCCCTATAATTACCAATGTTAAATGAAAATATTGACAAACAAAATGCATATTAATCATATTTACTAACACAATCTATATTGAGATCGGTTATTTTCTGTTTCAAGTAAATAGTAGAAAGTATCTGATGAAACATCGTAAATAGGTAATCACAAGATGTTGGTTGTGGTGTATTTATACAAAATACAAACCAATCATTCAAATATAAATTACCACCTATTTGTAGCATTTATACTGCCGAGCTTGTTGCAAATATAAAAGGTATTACCTGGTTAACATCCAATAACATACTTGAAGGAATAATATTAACAGATTCTAAATTTGCATTAGACTCTATAAAAAATACAAAATTTGAAGGAATGAAGTTCATATGTTATGTTTTTCAAAAACAAGATTGTAAACTTGAATAAAACATTTATTTGGGTTAGAGGCCATGTAGGTATACCAGGGAATGAAAAAGCTGATACTCTAGGTGAGGAAGCAGTGCAAAATGGAGACTTGCAATATTTATACAGTAAGGGATATATTTAACTCAATAAAAAATAAAATTAGACTGAAATGGTAACAGCAATGGGAAAATATTGTTGAAAACTAGCAAAATACATATTTACAGATACACCCCACGTTACATTTAAAGATGTGAAAATAGAAATATAAATTAGTATAACTTCAATGACTTATAAATATAACAAAAAATCTAAAAAGATCTAAAAAAAGTAACAAACAAGAACAAACAAAATATTTTTAAACATAAATAAAACATTATGTGGCTAATGGACTTGTTTCCGGGTCATATTTTTCACACACACACACACATACACACACACATAAGAAAATAAAATATCATTGACAATACTTACGTCAATTTCCTTAAAGGTATTAACAAGTTTTAGGTTGCTTCGATATGTGGTGCCTCTTGTTCCTTAAATGTAGTAACATTATAAATTATTGCCTTTGCTTGGCTATTTAATCCCAGCCCTTTCGTTCCTATCTTTTTAGAAGCCATATTATAACTATTATTAATAACTAAACTTAACACACTATAAATAAACTAAACACTAAATGACTTAATAATTCACTAATTACTACTAACTATATTATACTAAGCACTAATATAAAATAAAATAATAAAATATCCAACACGATCAAATCAACAAGTCAAACACTCTCTGCGATACGCAACTACGACACTGGCAAACTGGCCGTTTCTATGGTAACGCTAGTAAACAAGAACTACTGCGCACCGTCGAGTTATGAGTCATATTCCCAAACCAAACTTTGTCGCAGTCTATTATGAAATATACTGTGATATGACTCTACTTATAACTGTATAAAACGTTTTTCTTTTAGGTACGTACAAATTAAAGAAGAACGACTTGCAAGACCAAGCTTTCGATCCCTCTAAAATTAGTGATAATATTTATTACTTAGACAGTACCAAAGGAACTTACGAAAAGGTAACAAAAGATGTTTATGACAAAATAAATGATGGAACTATAAGAGTATAAGAATATTTTATTTCATCGATTTTATTTTCTACTCAACGATTCCATGAAGATGTATTTATGTACATTTATGTGAGACTTGCGTCTGGTTAGAACTAAGGTATAGGAATATTATGTCAAGAGTAATATTTTTGTATAGTACCAGAATAATTTTTTATTTAAATATTTCTTTATTTAATTTATTTAGTATTTATGTATCTAGATATTATAAAGTATAACGAAAGAAGTAGTTCTACTTTGATGGTTATAAGTCCTCGTATTTTTTAATTGGGGTCAAGTCAGGAGAAGCTGCTGGCCGCAGAATGATTGGAATCCTGATTTCGTGCAATTAATTTCTTTTATGGTACGAAGGTTGATGTAGAGTTGTTTTGTTGTAGTCCATTCACACTACGCAATAAATTTTTTTTCCAAATCATGGTTTACTAAAAGACTTTGGATTTCTGTACCATTTCAGCACTACTGCAGCTGAAAACAAGCTTTATTCCAATTATTGACGCAAAAATCCTTCTAGGTACAGAAATCTCTAAAGTTTCCTACTTTGTAACATCAAATATACGTTCCTGTATTGTTGATTTTAATTCTTGTTATCCTTACCTATTTTGCCACTTTACACAAATTTGTCAATTATTTTCTAGTACTTTTAAATAATTTTATGACACAATATTGACATTGACACATGTCAACCTCAAAAATATCAAAAACAAAAATGTCACATACTTCTGTAAGTCTATTTTCTTAATAAACTATTTTATATCGTAAAATGCATCGCTATTCTTGCCAATTACTAAAATTTATTGCATTATAAACAATGTTTGGATTGATCCATAGATAGATTATTAGTATAGAATGTATTCAAGTTGTGATAGACCTGATGTTTGTGAGGATTGTGAATATTTACACGATTTCGTAGTTATAACAGCTAAACATGACAAGTTAAATACAATTCGGTTCTCAAAGAATCGTTACAGTGTAACGATACCCTACTACGGATGGATTCTGTTCGTATGTGTCGATTCAGTGTAGTTGGAATCGATTCATAACTCTGTTTTTAACCGTTTTGGTTTTGGTTCCAGTGTCAGATCAAGCCACATACACAATCCAACATTCGAATTTGATACATATATAGAATCAAAATAAGGTTACGAATAGATAGAGTTTGGCGTGATTTATGGTAGTTCTTCGATAGGAGATATCTTTTTTTGGTCACTAATATCGAAAAATCCATATCGGTAACACTATATATGCATAGACCGTTAATCACAAGGCTTATTTCATTCTAGAAATTGATGATAAACAGAGAATCAACACTAGGTAATCGGATCATACAAAGGAACGAAACGATTTGGTCCAACTCTACATAAATTTCTTTTGATTAGTCGGTGCACACGTTAATTAATTTTTTTTAATGTGCAATATTGTTCAATTGTATGTTTTGACATACAATTGAACCAGTGCATCGTTTTAATTATTTTATACTTAAGCTTGATGTTTATATAGATGTATAATGGACAGAACTGAGATTATGCAAGAGATGAATAAAACATTTGACAAGTTATTTATGAAAATAAGCACCGAAAATAAATCAATTTCACTTATCAACAACAGCTACATATACAGCTAACTAAATATCTTAAAAGCTGAAGTGATATATACGCTGTAGAGATCACCAAAACGGACTCTGTGTATTGTTAGTATGTAGTATTAACTTGAGACAGATTGTAGAAATCGTTTTTCTGCATAGAGTCGATACCGTATAGTCGGTTCATACAAAGGAACGGAACGATTAGATCCAACTCTACATAACTTTCTTTTATTTAGTCGGAGCGCTTGTCAGCGATTTGTTTATTGTGAAATTTTCTTCGATCGTAGCTTTTTACGTGATTCCTGTTCTACCATCACATTAACTACAATCAACCGTTTAGGCTTTGGTGGTAGTTACACATCAGTACACCAAGGACCATCTGGATTTTGTATTTGATCCGTTTTCAGCAACAAAAGTAGGTTATTGATATCTAGTTTAGCATGAGTTAGGGTAGTTTGTAGTTCTTCAACACGAAATAGGTCTTTTTGATAACTGATATGCTATAATTGACATCATAAAGTCGTAGATACTTTGTAACAAGGTACGATCGTATTCTCAGCTCTTTATGTAGGGTAAAACTCATAGAAAACTATTATTTGAGCTTTTAATCAGATCCTATTCACTTAGAGAGATCATTAAAGCATACTTTTTGTAGTTATTCTGTAGTGGAACGGATTCTATGAATTGGTTATAAATACAGAATCAGTCGTACTTATCAGATTATACAAAGGAGCGGAACAATTTGGTCCAACTCTATATTCTTTAGTCGGTGGGCTTGTCTTGATTTTTTACTGTAGAATTTTTGTTGCGTCCAGGATCAAAATTATGTTACGATACAAAGTTTGGTGTGATTTACGGTAGCTATTTGATGGGAAATAGGACTTTTTGGTCAGTAATATGAATGAATTCAAAGTTCACATGATAGATTTTAAAATCTAGGCTATAGAAGTAATCGAAGTACGTCTTTGCACATTTAGTCGTTAGTTTTCATCAATTTAACGTAATTGAATCATAGAAAAGAACATAAAAGTTTGGTCTAACTCTATACCAATGACTTTTATTTAGTAGGAGCGCTTGTCGGCTATTTTTTTATTGTGGAATCCTAAAATATGAATTTCCACAAGTCTCCTCATTTTTTAATCATGTTTTATATTCGTATTGATGTATATTGTACAATTTTTTTTTTTCCAAGTTTTGTCTACTAATACTTACATTTATTGTATATTCTAATTCTTTTATTATTAATATTAAGTTTTAAATGATCGTTATCTAAAAGTGTTTGATTTTATCATATTTTTCTTTATTTTGGTATTTTATCAATTTGTAAATCGTTATAATAAGCTTATAACTGCACATGTGGCGAATGGATTTAGTGTCCGCAGTCATTTAAACACAAACAAACAACAACAAAACTGCACATGACGCACCAATGCGCCATATGAGCATAAAATGTGTCAATGGTGAACCGTATACATGAAAATTGTCAGTGAGAATGTTTTTTTCTTGCGCACAATTAAAGCTTGCTATTAGTGTCACATCAAGCAACTCTCAAGTGTCAAAATAACTTTATTTATTATATTTTTGGTCTTGGTAAATATCCAAATATTATAAATTTGCTTAGCATCAAGCACATAAGTGTAAATAAATACATCTTGATGACGACTGAACAAAAGAATCTGGAGGAAAAATTTTGCCCACTTACTTAAAGTGACAACTGTATTTTTATAAATAAATTTTTGGATATTTTGGTACTTCTCTACTATATGGTTGTGTTTTAGTATACTTTGTTATTTTTGAATATATGTTTTTGTTTCGAACACTGAGTTTTATTGTTTTTCCCACATTTCCCGTAAATCTTTGTTTTTTCACCTGTATTTACACTTTTTGTACCAAAAACAACTAAAATGGGTAAAATAAAACAAAATAAACGTCCAACAATGTTTTTTTTTTTTAAGTTATACAAAAATTATAACTTTCAACTTTGTAAGAAAATAAAACAATTGTAAAAGTAGAATCACACTGTTAGATTCTTTAGTTCTGCCAGTAAATCGTTTTCTGCTTTGATTTTTTCGAGTTGATTGATTTCTAGAGTTTTGCCCTCAGCTTGCTGTGTTTTTAGCTTTTCTATAGCATCCAATTTCTGAAAATTAAGAATATAGTTATAAATCTGTAAGTTATAGGTCTGGCATTGTAAAGTGAGATTTTTTTTAATATGCCAGCATCTCAATAACGAGAATCCATCCCAAAATCAACTCAATGACCAAACCCAGACCAGAAGCGAGACTGCTGGTTGACTTAGTGTCTGATTACAAATATGGAGCGATTTTTAAACATAGTTTCGAGTTTAGTGACACAAAAATGAGTTTTTTTATTTAAGGGGACAGTCTCATGCGATTAAAAAAAAAAAAGACGCATTTTAAAATTAAATCAGAAAAAAAAACTATAATATTTATTAACATAATTCCTTTTGGAGATGATTAAGTAATTCTTGAAGTACATAATAAAAATTTTTAATAGCGATTTTAACTTCATTGGTGTCCTGTAGATGGCGTGTAGTAAAAAGTGCGTTTTTGGTGGTAAGACACTTTGTGGGTCACCTGTAACAGATATTCAAAAAATTCAAAATGGGTTGTATTCGTGAGACTCAAAACTAGATGATAAACCTTTAAAATATGTAAATTGTATTATTTTGAAGAGTTTATACGAATTTTTTCAAAAAAGTCGAAAAATCACTATATTTTTCGGTGGATTTACCCATATATAATAAAAGGGAGGGTGGTTTTTTAAATATTTTAAAGGTTTATCATCTAGTACTTTCTATATACATTCGAAAAAATTTTGGTTTTTTAAAATCGGTTAAGAAGGTTCGGAGAAAAGTGTCTGACCAGTTTGAAAATGTTACTTTTGAAAAATGCATTTAAAGTTTTTTTTACATAATTTTCGCGAATAAAAGGCTGATAACTTTATACTCACGTTTAATCGGCCATTCTTGGTGAATATTGAGGACCGTCTTCATCCAACAGTTGTTGTAAATGGCTTTGTAAAGCTGTAAATTTCAATACAACGTCGCGATGTTTTATAATTAATTCATTTGTTTGACTGGAGTCTCACTCTCAATTCACGCCGCGATGCTGCCAGTGTAAGTGTAAAAACGGAACACACCTAGATCGCATGTCAATTCAACGAAAACGTACTTATTTATAAATGTAGATATAAAAATATTTTATAACTAAAAAAATGGTTGTTTTATTACCAAAACGGCTTGAAAAAAAAAGTTGATTTCTAAAATTAAAAATAAAAAGGAATTTTAAAAATAATATTACACTCTTTTTAATTTGAAATTATAAACAATATTTGGATTAATAAATGTATTTAAGTATAAATTGTATAACTCAAATAATACCTAATGAACACAAACAAAATTGATGTTAATAAAACATTATTTATTATCTGCACAAAACCGGACTTTCAGGAAAAATCGGTAGACGGAGCAACACTGTCGGCGTACCATATACGCTACTATACAACGCTGAGGAGAAGTGGAACTATAAATCCAGTGGAACAAATAAATTAGTTATAAAACATCGCGACGTTATAAAGAAGCACTGGTTAATTGCAACGCAGAGAATCTTATTATTTGTAAAAAATCCTATGTTCCGGATTTAAAATTCCAAATGTGTATAGTAACTGCCAAACGTTATACAGATATACATACTATATAAAAATGAATCACTAATACATACCCAACGTATATACAACATATATACAAAAGCAAGAACAACTGGAGCCTCGCGCTCGCCGCGCGGAGAGAAACCGGTTTTCATACGTGCGTATATGACGTTAATAAAATAACTATAACTTATATTCTAGTGGGAATTTCTTTTTAAAATTTTAGGAGGGAGTTTTTGAATGTAAATGGAAGCGATTTATAAAAAAAATTAAAATTGATTTTTTGAAAGTTCCGCATGAGACTGTCCCCTTAATAAAAACATTTGCTTCTCAATGTAGTGTCATAAGAAGTTACTGTTCCTGTTTCTTCAGAAGATCAACTTAATGGCCATGCCTCGCAGCCATAAGCGAGTATGTTGATTGGTCCACTGTCTAAATATAGAACGATTTTCAGGCCAAATTTGGCCACATGAAGTTTCTAGCGTCGATCCGATCGGTTCAGCTCATGTTTCTTTCAGGCAAGGTAAATTTCCTCAAAGTTTAAAACTGGCAATTGTCAAGCCACTACATAAAAAAGGTGATGTTACTAAGATGGAGAACTATAGACCAATAAGCATTTTTCCATCATTCTCAAAAATATTCGAAAAAGCAACTTTACTACAAACAACTTATTTAGTAGTTCACAGCATGATTTTCTCGCAGGGAGATCTGTTGAAACAGCTACCTATGATTTTATATCAAAAATTTTAGAAAAACTAGAGGCAAAGATAAAAACACTAGGTGCTTTTTTGGGCCTATCCAAGAGTTTCGACAGCCTAGATCATGTTCTTTTATTACAAAAATTACATTTTTATGGCATACAGGGACCGACATTAAAATGTATAAAATCATTTCTCACAGATAGGTAGCAAAAGGTATGCCTGGAGAAAAGGGGACGTAAGGTTTACTCTGAACCAATCAATTTAAAATTAGGCATACCACAGGGGAGTGTCTTGGGACCTTGTCTGTTTTTGGTCTACATAAACGACCTTCCAAATGCGGTGGTTAGTCATTCCTCAAACCTTGTTAATTTTGCTGATGACTCAAATGTGCTTTTCTGGGAAAAAACATTAGAAACACTCCTCCCAGTGGCAGAGCACATTCGAAGCAAGGCTCAACAGTGTTTCAGTGAAAATCGGTTGTTGCTTAATACTGGTAAGCCAGTTTTTGTTTACTTTAGAAACAGCCAGTAACGAGAACAGTTTCCAGATACAATCAATGTTCTATCAAAAAACACGGAACCTGCTAGATCAGTTACATTTCTTAGTCTTCATACTGACCAGAATCTGAATTGGGGGGAACAAATACAAAATACAACAAAAAAACTTAACCCGGCAACTGTGTTGTGGGGTGAAAATAACCCACGTCGTTCATTACCGCTTGTTAAAATAGTGGCAACATCGCCAGATTCGTCTGGCGCCACGAGTACCTTCCCATAATATAACAGACCTTGTATTGCATCATAAATTTCAGTATATAAATAAGATTTGAATGAGTGGTGTCGCCTTCTTTGGACTTGTGGGTGATTTTAACCCCACCACACAGTTGAAGTGCAGTATTATTTAGTTTTTGGGTAATTTTAACCCCACAACACCGGTTAATTATTAACAGGTAAGTTCTTATACTAGCACAACTTATCTCGATTTTTTTAACAGAAACATAATTTAATTGTTAGGAATATTGAAAATTGATTAGATATTCTTAATTTCAGACATATCGAAATATGTGTAGTTGGGAGAAAGAACAAGAAGCTCTCTTGAAGCTTTGGCAGGATGAATTAACTGGATCAGAGTTAGGATCAGAAAGCGAATCTGAAAATGAAAGTCAGCAGGTTAGCCTTAGTTCCAGTGAGGATGTTTTACAAAACCAACTTCAATCAGTGGAAAATTGTCAGCCTGGAACTTCTAATCAGGAAAGTCAATCATCGTCGGAAGAATCTTCTCAAGACAACAATAAGTTTGAAGATGATAAAGTAAGACAATCTAAGTTTTTTATCGGACGGGATGGGAAAACAAAATGGTCAAAGAACTGTCCTAATAAATCGGTTAGAACACGACAAGAAAATTTAATTACTTTACTTCCCGGTGTTCGAAATAATGCAAAACATTGCAAATCACCCATTTCTTGCTGGGAATTATTCATGGATAATATTATTGTAGAAGATATTGTCCAATGCACTAATAAAAAAATCAGTTTAGTCGCTCAGAATTATAATGACCAACATAAATATATCACCAAGCCTACGGACGCAGAAGAAATTCGTGCAGTTTTCGGATTACTATATCTATCAGGCGTTTATAAAGCCAATAGGTTAAATCTGGAGGATCTTTGGGCTACAGATGGAACAGGAATTGACATTTTCAGGCTAACAATGTCCCTGCAAAGATTTATATTACTTTTAAAGTGCCTACGATTCGATAATATCGAAAATAGAGACGAACGAAAAAGAGTAGATAAACTGGCAGCTATACGAGCTGTTTTTGATCGATTTGTATCCAATTGTCAACAATATTTTATTCCTAGTCAATACTTGACGATCGACGAAAAATTAGAATCTTTTCGGGGACGTTGTTCCTTTCGGCAATATATCCCCAATAAGCCGTCCAAATATGGCATTAAAATATTTGCCTTAGTGGATGCCAAAACATTCTACATTTTAAATTTAGAGGTATATGTTGGCTCACAGCCTGAGGGACCTTTTCAATTTAGTAATAGACCGTTTGATGTAGTAAACAGGCTTGTAAATCCAATTCGTGGTACTAATCGCAACATTACATTCGACAACTGGTTTACCAGCATACCGCTAATGGAACATTTGCTTAGTGAACATCGGTTAACATCTGTTGGAACTATTCGTAAAAACAAGAGGGAAATACCGACAATCTTTTTGAATTCCAAAAACAGAGCTGAAAACCACGCAATTTTCGGATTTAAAAAAGACATTTCTTTGGTGTCCTTTGTCCCGAAGAAAAATAAAATAGTGTTAGTAGCTTCTTCACTTCATCATGATACAGAATTTGACCACAAATTAAATAAACCTGAGATTATAGACTTTTATAATCACACAAAAGGTGGAGTGGATATGGTTGACGAAATGTCTGCGTTATATAATGTGTCTCGTAATAGCAAGCGATGGCCACTAACAATTTTTTTTTCGCTGCTTAATAATGCAGGAATAAATAGTTATGTTATTTATCAACATAACAAGCCAAATGAAAAACTAAAACGCAGATTTTTTTTAAAACAACTTGGTTTGGCACTAATTAAACCATATATTGAAAAAAGAGGTAATAATCAAAGAATACCATCAGACATAAGAGCGAAACTAAAAAGAAATGACAGCGGAGAGGACTCTCAAGGACCTTCAAACAAGAAACAACGAACAACATCCAGATGTGGAGTGTGTCCCCGTGGAAAGGACAGAAAGTGCCAAAAGAAATGTGTAAAATGTGACATTTTTCTTTGTCTTGAACATTGTGTATATTTTTGTTCTAAATGTGCAAATAATTGTTAATTATGCTTTTTAAACAAAAGATCATAGTTACTTTTTATAGAATTTGTAGTTTTTTTTTATTCTATATCTCTAATAAAAATTTTATTAACAAAAATTGTGGTAGTGGTTTAAATATCAACTAAATTTTAGTATATTTTTTGAATCGTTGAATTATTAACGAAAATTTTTAAAATGATTTAACTTTGAAAAAGATTATATAACAATATAACCATGATTTAAAATCTTAAGGTTGCATGTAAAAATAAAATATTTTCTCAATTTTATAAATAAAAAAAAAATGGGGTGATAATTACCCCAACACACAGCTCCTGTTAGAAAATTTCACCACACAGTCGCCGGTTAATAGAACCTGCTACTCATTAAGCGTGTTAAAGAGCTATCTAGACCAGCGGATGTTACTATCAGTATATTATGCAAACTTTTATACTGTTATACGATATGGAGTAATCTTTTGGGGTGCTGCAGTAGATAGCTCAAATGTGTTTATAGTCCAAAAAAAGGCAGTCCGGGTGATCTTAGGACTAAAGGCGGGAGAGGCCTATTCAAATCACTCAATATACTCACTTTCTCAGCCATCTATATATTTAAATGTATTATGTTCCTTTTAAAAAATTTTGCTTTGTTTTATCACCTGCTTCCCAATCATGAATATAATACAAGAAGCCTTAATTTGAATTTGCCACTTCACAGATTGTCTATAACAGAGAGAAGTCCTTTGTATGCGTGTGTTAAATTTTATAATAGTCTACCATCTGACATTCAACAGGAAAGACACTATAGAGGTTTTAAAGAAAGCTTTTTCAACATCTAGTTTACATTGAGCCCTATACTGTGGCGGAGTGCCAGGCCTATCCTTCTCCCTGATCAGCATATTAATAATGTGACGTTATTTGCTCAATTATCTTTAAAAGTTTATGCAAATAAAAATTTACCCTCCTCTACTCCACTTTACTCGGCGTCTATATCAAGCAATTAATTAGCTCTTGATTGAGCAAATCTGATGCCAAAATATCAATTAGAAACCTGTATTGATGAAATAATGTCAATGATGAATATATTAAGATGCCTAATTGAGGAAATCGAACAGATTTACATACAAAACCTAATTTTCTTACCTTTTTGATATTTTTGAGCTTCTTATCCAATTCTGGATCACCAGTTAAATTTATTTTTACACTACTGACAACTGCTGGTGTTTTCGGTTCATCTTCATTCACTTCCTCCAATTTTTTTGCCTTCTTTGCTTCCCTTTTCTTTTTCTGCTTCAGGGAAGCCTTGGATGGAGCAGAATCTTTGCCTGAAATAAATTACTTAAGACAACATTTCCAGAAAACAAAATAATCTGAAAATATTTTATAGTTTCAGCCATACTCATTAAACATCAGAATGGGTAATGCCTAATTTTAAAATTAACATACTGTATCTTTATTTTCTAAACTCCAGGAACAGTTAAGAAAACTCTTTCAAGTCTGCTTGAATGGGGCCGAATTACCAAAAGAATGGAAATTATCATGTCAACTATCCACAAAAAGGGCAGCAAGGATCAGTGTGAAAATTACAGAGGAATTGCGGTAAACAGCACAATAAGTAGTATGTATGAGAAACTTATTAAGAACAAAATAGAAAATGACTATAGAGATTACGAAGCAGAGGAGCAAGCTGGTTTTAGAGCTAGGCGATCCACAGTAGACCACTTGTACTCTATTACGCAAGTTATTGAGAAAAACAGATGTCAATAAAAAAGTTCACCTGGTGTATGTAGACTTACAAAAAGCATATGACAGTGTACCCCTCAGTAAACTATGGTCAACACTACAGCAAACCAACATTAAGCATGGTCTTATCAAAGCAGTCCAAAGTCTGTATAATGGAACGACAGCAAAAATTAAAACTGGATCAAGGATATCTGAGGGATTTAAGGTCACGAAAGGACTAAAGCAGGGTTGCTGTATTTCGCCTACCCTTTTCAAAATTTATCTGGAACAAGCACTAAAGCTGTGGAAAAGAAAATGTAATGGCATGGGAATTCCTCTCAATGACGAGACTACACTGTACACCTTATGTTTTACTGATGACCAAATACTGATTGCTCAGGATCATGACGACTTGAGTTACATGACTCGGAAGCTAATAGAAGAATATAGCAAATGGGGTCTCGAAGTCAACATTAAGAAAACTGAAGCCATGTGTATTGCAGGGACAAAGCAGTCCATTATATTAGACGATGGGGTAGAAATTAGACACTGTGATGAATACAAGTACCTGGGTATGAAGATGGAACACTCAATGCTGCTATAAAAGACAGAAACATACAGGGTAGAAAAGCCATATCCATGATGAACGGCATTCTGTGGGACCAAACAATATCTAAAGCGAACAAACAACTCATATACAACACCATACTTAAAAGTGTAATCACATATGGCAGTGAAGCTTGGCCAATGAAACAAAGAACAGAGAAACTGTTACTAGCAACAGAAATGGACTCCTGGAGAAGAGCAGCAGGCAAATCAAGAAGAGATCGGATACCAAATGAGAGAATACGAGAAATGATGGGAGTCAAGCATACAATAGTTGATGACATAAAAACAAAACAGTTAATATGGTACGGCCATGTACAGAGAATGCCAGATGACAGGATTCCGAAACAGATTTTGACGTGGACACCACAAGGGAGAAGGTAAAGAGGAAGGCCGAGAAGAAGCTGGAGAGAGGGAATTGAAAAAGAACTAGAAGAAAGAGAAATCCCTCCAGGCCTATGGTTAAATAGAGAAGAATGGCGGTTAGGAGCCGGAAGGCGTCAGATAACGCTGTAAACCGATAGTAGTAGTAGTATCTTTATTTTCTAACATATAATTGTCACCATTAATTTAAACTCACCTGGTTTGTGTGCAGTTTCCTCATCTTCGTGTAGATTAAAGTTAACCGTAGGTCGATTGCGTGCAGAAGGAGGTCTGTAAACTTGCGCTGATGCTTGCGGTTGACTTGGGGCGATTCCCTCAACTTTTTTGGCTGAAATGACTGGATCACGGAACACTCCCTTCGAAACGTTCTTAAAAATAAAAAAAATGCAACAAATCTTAAGAATTTGTGTTGAACTCTCTCAATAGCTTAAATAGGGTGTTATAGTGAGGAGACCAAACACATGAACAGTAATCTAGGTGGGGTCTCACAAGTAAACTTGTGACAAATTAAACAATTAGAGTAAACTTCTTTAGGGGAACAAAAATATCAATTGCAAGGTAAATAACATCATAAAACATGTTGATCATATCATCAAGACTTTTATCTTTAAACAAATCATCCCAGTTAAATTGTGAAAGAAAGTTTGCTACTTCCTGTACACTCATTGAGAGAAAGTACTTGATGCGGATTATGAAAGGAACATCAAAATTAGGGAAATTAAATGGAATTGACTTCATTTGGTGAGGTTCCTGGTAATGGAGTAGCCACAGAAGACAATCCATCAATGAACCACTGACAATTGGGAAAATTAAAATCTCCCAGGATACATAACTTATATTTTGGATACTTTTCAGCTAGATTATCTACAATTTCTGCATACTTCTCAATGATACTACGTGGAAAGTAGGTAGTTGCAAAGATAAACTTGGCGATGTGGCCAATCTCAATCTTGACAAACAGGTGTTCGATATTTTGAGTCGCTGACAAACGAACACTGGTTATGGTTTTTCGGACAGCTATAAGCACTGCTCCACCTCTTTTAAAGAGATGGTCTTCTTATGAACAAGAAAAGAAAGAAAATAAATCACTGTTTAAAACACTAAAGTTTTGATAATGAGTATGCTTTTGAGACAGTTTTATTTTTGTAATTTGTGATTGTATATCAGCAAAAAAATAAATAAAATGGAACAAATAAAAATAGGAATCCTGTAAAAAGTGGATTTAAAAACAGCATACCTTCCAAGTGACATCATATAATTCTTCAGGTTCCTTATGAGGCAGTTCAAAGATCAAAACTCCTGTATAATGCCAGATTTTATAACCATTGCTGATTCTTAACCTAGAGCCGTGGTGGCAGTTAAAAAATGTTCCCCGTCAGCAGCCCAATGAAGCAGCGTTGTATCTGGTGCTTCACAGCTACTAATTTTCTTCCAATTGGCGGTGTCCCATAGTTCGATTTGACCCCTTAAATTGCCAAAACCTCCCAAGAGAAGAATATTTCCTTGAGGATTGTAATGTATGGCATTTTTTGGACCAGATCCCAGCTCGAACACAGGCTCACATTTTATGTTGAAGATGGTAGCTTTCGCTGGCATGAAACCATACACAACACAAAACTCATTGTTTTTTGGAGACCATTCAACACTGTAAATGGGACCCTCTTTACCTAAAATGGTAAATAAATGTAAATAAAAAATTACTGGATATTGGACAATTTAAAATATTTGTCTGCAAATCTAATTTTAGTATCTTGTGTAGATTTTGCTGTTATCCTAACCTATAAATTACACATGAAGTGCTGCATTGTTATAGATAAATACAAAACAAACTGAATAATTGTGACAGCTGCACAGGGGCCTTTTACTAACTGATACTAAAATCAGAGCTGACATGACAAATTAACCTCAATTAACTTAACACAATATCCCAGCTTGCCAATAAGGTTTTATCAAGTATGAACGGATTGTTCATCTATTACTCTTATGTCTAGTAAATATAATATAGGTTATTTTCTACCCAATTTCTTATTTATAAAACTTTAGCTATTTTCCAAATTTGTCTATAGATATAAAATGTGACACTTACTTAAGGTTATTATCGAAGTTTCGCCATTTAAGCCCACAAAATATAACCCTTGTTTTCCATAATATGAACCTCCTGTTTTGTCCACTTCTGTAGATGTTAACAACAATGCACTATTACCTTTGGCATTCCACATAATATCAACTTTATCAGCTTGAAAAAAACTTCTATTGGCAATGGCTTGTGTGGTATCAAAAGCAGGATACTTAAATAACCTGAAGATACAAAATGTATATGAGATAGACCAAAACTATCATTTAACTAACAGTTTTATTAATTTACTTTGAACACAAAATGTCTGAAAGAGGCAGAAATCGAACTTGCCAAAATCATTTCAATACTCATAGATATTTTGTATTATAAAATGCTTACCTGGCAAGAGAAGGTTGTCCAGGACTGCCCAGTGTGTGACAAAGAACAAAATAGACACCAACGTTAGGTGAAATCTTGTAGGAAGAAACCTTAGAACTGTTAATTCTAGCTACTATTCTCTCAAAATTTAGATCTTCATAAAACACAACATCAGTGTTTACTACCCTTGAAAAAAGTTTTTCATCATGACTCCATTGAGGTTCCCTATCAAAAATTAAATAAATATCTGTTAAAAAATCAATTCTAAATAAAAATATCAACATATTGAATATTTTCACTCAAAAATACTTAAAATCATTACCAATTAGCTTGTTTTTTGTGTACAAATGTCTTAACAAGTTCTCCATTGGCAGTTTTATATATCTTTAAGTTTGGACTTCCCTGTGGGTTGGCGTTAGTTACTGTAAAAGGCTCCCAGCTCATTATAAAAGTTCCTTTTGGTGAAAATGCCAACTGATAAGCTTTAACATTCTCAATAGTGGCCAATGTCTGCCAATTATCAGTTTGTAGTACACATAATCTGAAATGAATCAATTTACAATAATACAAAATGGTTTTTTGTTAAAATAAATTAATTATTGCACAAAAATGATACAAAAGGAGTACAGAAAGCTTAAGGACTGTTCAGTCTTTGAACAACTCAAGACATACAGTTCCTTGGTTTTATGCAATTGTAAATATAGTTGTTCTTACGTTTGTCCATTCACATATGCCAAATATTTTCCATCTTGATCAAACAGCATGGTACGACAGGCCTTGCTTTGAATCGGAGGACATGTTGGTTTGTTACCAGGAGTAGGTAGTCCTTCATAGAGAGTAATTCCTGATGAACTACGAGCTAAAACAATATTATGAATGTATATAAACATAGAAAGAAATCTTCTGAAGCAGATGTCAAAAAATCCATTGTACATGTACATTTTGAACATGTTTATTTAAAAAAAAATCAGTCATGTTTGGGACTATTCACTTTGTCTAACATATTGTGAAGACCATTCGTCTATAATGTGTTATGGGGATTAAATGGGTCAAAAGCTTCCTTACCTGCAATGGGAATAGCCATTATTGAACAAAATAATGTATCAAATGTACTTGAAAAACGTTACTTTTATAAGAATGTATAATCTAAATAAAAATAATTTGTCAGCGACAAATTAAAATCACGTTTTCTTATACATTTTTTTTGGGAATATTGTAGTTCAATGGAGTCTGAGAATAGACTTCTGTTTTTGGATGTCCAAAATGTGTTTCTACCAGTTTTAGGTTAGGTTACTGGTTTGACGTTTGTCAATGTCAACTATAAATTCAACTTTTGTTTGGTATTTGCTCCTGTCCTTAACTTTCAGAACTTTTCACTGTTTCACTTAATTTTAGTAGAGTAGGAGTTATTTCGTTGGGAAACTTTCTGGGAATGTTCTAATAAAATCTAATGTTTAGCTTTGAATTCGTTGGCAAGTAATGAAGACTCAATAAATATCACCGAGATAATTAACCCACAGACAGAGGTCTAGAAGAGAAAAAGAAGAATTTCATCTCTCAGTTTCTTTATTTGACAGTTTCTATTCCACAGTATATACCACAAACAGTGGTGTAAGTGTAATAGGACAAGTGGGGATAGTGCATTGCATGTGTCCAGCCGTTGGTAATGGCGATGGCGCTATTAGTCGGTGGACGTATGACATATTAATGACGTTGATGTAAGTGCTGTTGCCATGCTTTCACCAGTTTTGCATATTTACTCAAATAAAAAAAAGAAAGGTTGTGGCAAATTCTACCAAAATCACAACTTAAATTTACAATAACTTAATTCTAAAGAATTTTGAGTATCCACCGAAAAAAATGTGTTAGTGGCAACATTGTAATCCACGCCTTTGCAAATTCTAAATGGCGTTATAAAAACATTTATTTATTTTCCATTAAAAGTATACTTTTTGAATTTGCCGCCTAGAATTCAGAGCATGTTTTCTTAAATTTGCCGTTAAATGAAATTAGTTTCGGCCCGTCCGCATTTGGCGCTAAAAACTCTCTCCCAAATCTTTCCTTACAAGAGGGCGTCTTAGTCAGTTGTCAGTTCCTATGATTTAAATGTCAATCAGATATAATATAACCTAGGAAATCTTAAAAATGAATATATTGAAAAGTTTTATATTTTTTTAACTGTAGAAATACATTGCGACTAGACTTTCTATATTAGAGCACAATGGCTTTGAGTCGAATGGTAAGGATAGTAAATTTAGGGTAAGTTAAAAAATATATGTAATTGTGTAGTCCAGTATTTTTTTATGAAATTCTGAATGAGTTTTATATATAATAAAATCTCCTTTTCAAACTATTTTTTAGTTCAAAAGAAAGTACCTTCTTGCAGCGTCATGGTCTCAAATCAGGAAATGGAAACATAAGAAACTTTAGAAATGGTAGGAAAATCAATGATGAACCCAGGATAAATCCAGAAAGCTTAGCTACTCCATTTACCAATGCGCATATCGATTGCAGTAACTTACGTGTAGCAAGTCTATTCAGGCCATTTCTATTTACAGTAGCAGTATGTGCTTTATTATTATACAAATAATCACAAAGTCATTTTCGTTGCATATCATAGGTTCAGCAATATTTAAAATATTGCCTAAATTCAATGAGTTCTTGTCTAAATTTAGATATATCATAGCTGTACTGTAGTTCTGCATAAGTCTCCAGTCAAATTATATGCAGATAATTTTCATTTTCATACAGTTTTTATTAAACTTAACAATTCGTGATATTCGAATAGATGGGTGCAGCAAGACAATTTGCCACTTTTTATCTCAAACATATCAATGACAAATGATGGTAAAACTGAACTTCTGCCACCAATGCCAAAATATTTGTATCTGTAGTTAAAGAAGCGTTGTCACAGCTATAGAAAGCTTACAAAACATCCAGAAACTTGCACTTACTCATAATTATTAGAATCTATTGTGAACTTTAAAGGAAAAGTTCTAGAAACAATATATGGAGCAATAAATTACAATGTATTTTTTACATTTTAATGTTAAGTTTTATCATTGATATAGAGAACTACATATAAAGACATTTGAAATCAACATATTAACAGTTGGGGCATATCTCTTTTCAAATACAGCAATAGTGAAATATGAATTGCTATGACTTTTATTTGCGATTATTGCATCTTATGATTTTTTTAATGAAGTGTTAGTTTTCAGGATCATGTTTTCTTGGGGCTGCTGTTTGGGAATATGAAAATATGCGAAGTCATGCCAGAAGGCAGTTACGAAAGCCAATGAAATTTTTTAGGAAGAGCATAGATCAAGGAATTAATTCAACAGTAATATATTTTAAATAAGAAATAATAAAAAGTGTCTAGAGACTCTTCACAGAAAAAAGGTGCAAATTTAATTTGGTATAAATCACAAAAATAAAAAACACAATTTTAACTCATCTACTGTCTACTAAAATTATGGTTGGCAGTTAATGTGTTAAAGTCATTTGAAGAGCTTTACAAAGAAATATATCAACTCATGCAACGAAAACTATAGTAACTAAATTTTTGTATAATTGGAGTTACTACCTTCTTCTGAATTATTCTATACTTAGCTGTAACATAGGATATTGTGGTAACTTTATCAGCTGTATAGGCAACTTAAAATACACAATTCAGTTTTATAGTATCTCAAAATAACCTACCACATATTTAAAAATAACTGCATTAAGTTGAGTTACTATAATCTTCCCTGCATATTCTCATATATCTCCCCTGTTATTGAGTTGTTATCAACAGGTCCTCAAAGACATTTCGTCTCAGGACCATTTTACCTATGTAGGGTCATACGTTGCCATGTTACCAATTCCAACGGTAACTTAAACATCATAATCTGTAACCATATATAATGTAAAACAACTGTAAATTTATATCATTTAAAGGGTTTTGACCCATATATTTTGGTGGCTCATAGCATGTATACCTCATTTACACTGATGATGGATTTAACAATCCGAAAACGTTTTGTAATTTAATTGTGATAGCCCCTTTGGGCATTTTATTATATACCTTTTATAAAGGATTTGAAATAAATTTTTTGTGATATATGGTATACAGTCAGCTACAGGAACTTAGTTTCCTAGTGGATGTTTATTAAAGCTTTGCAGAGGTGATCCACCTTTGTACCATAACTTCTATTTTTCTTTATGTCCAAAGGAGGTAACACAGATGAAGAATGATATACATCAAGACTCCAATAGTTCTAGTAGCCGAATGAAGAAGATGACTTTGAGTAGAAATAAATGTAACTTATTTTGTGAAATTTAAGATATAATCATAAAGTAGGTACGTATTAAAATGTTCATATGTCATTTTTTTCACTAAATTGTTACGACGAAAAATGTAGCAACTCATAAAAAAACAGAATATATTAAGAAAAAATATAATTTTTTGGTGATCAAATTTGGGAACTGCATTTAAATAAACATACCCATTTATTTTTGGATATTTGAGAAATTGCTAACGAGTTTTTATACTTGTAAATTAATTTTCTCAAAACTATCTAAAATTATTTACTACAGTCTTCGTTGCATGAGTCAACATAATGACAAATTTCATCATGAAAACTGCGCGGAGCAACCAGAAGACTATATTAGACTTATTAAGTCAGATATTTATTGAAAGAATCCTCATGTCATAAACTGTAAAAATAAGACACACAATTTTGTGTTATACTGAATTCTAACGTTACAGTTGCAGTTAACGTGTTGAGATATTTAAAGAATTTACTGAACATGCATTTAATGATAAATTTGCAGTTGTCTTATGTGAAGGGATGTCTAGATACCATATAAAACTTCCAGTAACTACAATTTTCCCTTTTAGAATACCCTCGTCAGAGATTTTAAAAGTTGGTGGTCTCGGCTGACTGAGGGCGAGCGTATTTTTGCTCCAATATGTCTTCTGAATGTACTAGTATTCTTAGCGTGGAGGATTCCTAGATTTCAACCAATGATGCTAAGATATTTTTGTTCCAATCCAGCTAGTCCGAGTATCTATGTGCCTATGGTATTATCAACGTTTAGCCATTATTCAGGGTTGCATCTTTTAGCCAATATGTATGTCCTCCATAGTTTTTGTACAGGTAACTGTTTTTTCTTAATTTTAAAATGGAAAGTATGCATTCTGTATTAAAATGTTCTCTAAAAGACTGTTTTTATAAGAAAAATACATCTGGTGAATATTTTCATGTTGCAGGAGCTGTTCACAGTTTAGGAAAAGAACAATTTTTGGGTTTTTATTTAACAGCTGGAGTAGTATCAAGTTTTGCCAGTTATACATATAAAGTGCTGACAAGGCAACCTGGACTTTCATTAGGGGCGGTAAGTAAATGCTAGTAGTAATCTTAAGGACAGTGGATCATCATCCATATTTCATTTATCGTCTCCCACATGTAATACAATAAAGTTATTTTAATGAATACTTATTAGACTGGAAGAACACTGGGAAACAAACTTTTGGCTACAGTTCATAAACATTTAACTTTAGATTAATTTGTCAAGCACCGAACTCAGTTTTTTCATGTTTTAATTAATCACAAAGGATGTTTAATTGGTAAATAGCCATGTGTTTTCCTATTTATTTTATGAAAAAATGATTTTAAGCAGTTGAAAAGAAGATTTCTTTAGGTTTTTACCATTTTTTATCTTAGGTTATTTAGGAATTAATCTAAATAGCAGTGATAATTGAAAATAAACAATATTTATTAGTTGTAGACAAAGAAAAAAAGAGGACAGGATACAATTTAAGTTGTTTCAATAGTAGATATTTCTTCACTTGTCTTTTGTAACTTTTGAAAGCCTTGTGATAGATAATTAATAAGTTTTTACAGTTTTCTGGTATATGCTGGTGTTAAAAATTTATCTCTATCAAATCAGTTTTGTTTTTGTTGTATTATCTATTTTTATGATGTTTAACATTTACAATAGTTCACAGATTTTCAGTTGGATTAAGATTCGGTGAGGATTTATCGTTAGGAAAACAATCATTTTATTAAAACTAAAACAATTTAAGACATCTATACCTAGTATATACCCAAGGTTAGTAGATATTTCAGTACTTAAATATCTACTAACCTTGGTCTTGGTATATACCCCCCTAGTAAGGTAACTCCCACAATCTATAGGATGGTATATGTCATTAGTGACCGACTGTCAAAATTGTCAACTAAATTGACATAACATGTTGCCAACTGTCAAAAAAGTGTGTTCCACAATATTTTAGTTTTATTGCTTACAATTAGTTTGCTTAGTAGACCGTATTTTACGATGGTTAGTTACATTAGTCAACGTTTTTGTTTTAGTCTGGAGCTATAATGGGAATCTTAGGCTACGTTTGTACTCAGTATCCAGACACAAGACTAGGAATTATTTTATTACCTGTGTTCACATTTTCGGCTGGAGCTGTAAGTGATCTATTTTTTGTTATATTCGATATGTTTACAAGTATAATTGCAGGCTATTAAATTCATTGTGGGTCTCGATACAGCTGGTGTTCTACTAGGATGGAAATTCTTTGACCATGCTGCTCATTTAGGTGGTGCTGCCTGCGGAATGTAAGTCATTTTTTATGTATTTAATTCAATTTTTTTCGTAAGTGGGGTTTTTAAGTACAAACATAAATTGCTGTGATGTTTTATTTTATTTTTGTTTTTATTTACCGTTTCCTAACACTTATTTTAAATTGATAGAGTCTTATAATGCTAACACTAAAAACACAATTAATTTATAATATTTATTACTTAACGCTAATAATTTATTTCTTAGACTGGGTCTATACAATTTAATTTCCTTTATATATGTTTGTCCCGTTATTCTGGAATTCCATTGAATTTTCTAGGCGGACTGTCGCCTCGTTTAAAAGCTTTATAGACACTTCGTGACGTTAGAACTTCTAGATCTCTGTCGAGCGCCGTTTACTTGGAATCTCGAACCCTCGATAGTAGTTTCTAGGCAGCCGTAGGTCATTGAACGTCGATCTGATGTTTGATCATAGGTCAAGGGCTGATTAACGTTACGACCTATCTATGTAAACATATTTCACCACTGATATTCAATCTGTACTCGGAGCACGTTTTTGAAGAGGCCCTAAAAGATGTTGATGAAGGCATCTCAATAAATGGAGTCAACTTAAATAACCTGCAGTATGCAGATGATACAATAGTGTTTTACAATACCATAGAAGAGCTGCAAAACTTGATGAACATAATGCAAGGAAATCATAACTGGAGCAAATCTGTATGTGAACCAAATGAGAATTGACTGTGTCTCATAGTACAACTACTTGGGAACTGTAATCAATGAGTCGTAGAACAATACCCAAGAGATTAAATGTCGCATCGAAAAGGCAAAAAGTGTTTTCTTGACTATGAACTCTATGTTTAAGAGCCATGACCTCACCCTAGAAACAAAAATAAGCCTTCTTAAATATAAGGGCGAGCGCCCACCAAAGTGGCGTGGCAGTGGCAAGTAGCAAGTAGCACGCATCTAGCATAATGTAACCAATGAAAACGAATGATTCAGTTTACACCAAAATGACAGTAACGTCATTCATTCTAATCATTCGTTAGGATTGGTTACATTATGCTAGACGCGTGCTACTTGCTACTTGCCACTGCCACGCCACTTTGGTGGGCGCTCTCCCTTACGTGTACTCAGTGCTTCTGTAAGGAGTAGAAACGTGGACATTGAAGGCGGAAACTCTATCAAAACTTCAGGCTTTGAGCTATTGTTATACAGAAGGATCCTGAACATGGACAAAGTCACCAATGTCACAACCGCGGATTCGGTCAACATCGTGAAAGACAGGAAGCTGCAGTACTTGGGACATATAATGATAAAAAAAATTTTTTGTTAAAATCCTTTATAAAAGGTATATAAAAATGCCTCAAACGGGCTATCACAAACACATTGCAAAACGTTTTCGGATTAAACAATCCATCATCAGTGCAAACGGTTATACATGCTAGTAGCCACCAAAATATATGGGTAAAAACCCTTTAAATGTTATAAATTTGAAATTGTTTTACATTATTAGTATTTCTAATTTGTGATGGTTAAGTTACCGTTGGATAGGTAACATGGCGGCGTATGACTCTACATGAGTAAAATGGTCCTGAGACGAAGTGCCTACGAGGACCTGTTGATAATAACTCAATACTCAATCATGAGTTGTTATCAACAGGTCCTCGTAGGCACTTCGTCTCAGGACCATTTTACTCATGTAGAGTCATACGCCGCCATGTTACCTATCCAACGGTAACTTAACCATCACAAATTAGAAATACTAATAATGTAAAACAATTTCAAATTTATAACATTTAAAGGGTTTTTACCCATATATTTTGGTGGCTACTAGCATGTACAACCGTTTGCACTGATGATGGATTGTTTAATCCGAAAACGTTTTGCAATGTGTTTGTGATAGCCCGTTTGAGGCATTTTTATATACCTTTTATAAAGGATTTTAACAAAATTTTTTTGTGATATATGGTATACAGCCAGCTACAGGAACTTAGTTTCCTCGTGGAATTATATAATGATAAATCAAGGCAGATGTGAACTATTCCAATGCATTTTGCAAGATAAAATTGAAGGGAAAAGAGCCCTAGGACGAAGAAGAATATTCTGGCTTGCTAAACTGAAAGCTTGATATAGAAAGACCTCAACACAGCTCTTCCATATAGCAACCAACAAAGTCATCATAGCCAGAATGCCACCAACATTCGGAACGGACATGCACCCTAGGAAGAAGAACATAACATTGTAGTATCTTCTCCCAGTGAAGAATCTTTCGTTATTTAGCAACTATTCAGTTACTCATGACTGAAGACACTTGGATACCGTTAAGCGTTTACTATAGACCCTAATAGTTTATTATGAAAGCGTTGGAGAATTGCTAGCAGTGCCCCATAGCTGGATACGTCTTCTTCGAATGCCGTCTCTATTACGGTGGTTTAGTTCGGCAATCTTCGAATCAACTGTTCTTAAAAGTTGTTTTCAGCTGCCATTATATCATTCTCTTAGGATGTTCACTTACTGCATTATTCTGATTAATTTGTGAGCCTAGGTATATAAACTCTCGTACTCCTTCGAAAGTATATGTTCCGATCGTTAGATCTTCGGGTTGTGCTGCTTGTATATAATTTAATACTTTCATATACTATGTCTTACTAGTATTAACCTCTAGTCCCATTTTTTTCGTTGCTGCTTCAAGCGCTTTGAATGATTCGACCACGTCCGCTTTTCTTCTTGCAATAATGTCGATGTCATCGGCGGATGTTATTCCTCTTTAGTTGTCACATATTGTTTGATCTCTTTTCTTGTGGATAGGTACAATTTGTAACGGAGATATTTTGCCTACCCAAAGGATTCATTAATACAGAGGGTAGAAAATTGGGGGAAGAAACTATTGGGAGTGCGAACGGCACTCAGGGTTTGGTAGGAGAGCTGGGGTCGTGGAAAAGTAAAGATAAAGGGGTTAGAATGGGGCAACTACAAGAAGATGAAATAAAGGGGGTGCTTAATCTCTTAAGATAAACAAAATAAAAATAAACAGGAAACACCTCAAGGAATTTAATATAGGGCGCCACTTGAGGTGCCTAATTATACCTATTACAACCACTAGTTGTAACTAGGGAAATAATTATAAAACATCAAAAACATATCTTTTTCAAATAGGAATCAAAAAAGGGTTAGTTAAAAAATAAATAAATAAAATGTTAAAAAAACAAAATTTAACATTTATTTTTGTGTCACCACAAACAGTTACAACATGGAGAAATACAAAAATATAAAAAACTTACGTATTACATCCGCTTACAAACTCCAGAAGTTGGAGATACTACATAAAACTTACAAATGTTACCGCATTACAATTTTTAAATGTTACAATTTCTAAATTTTAACGAAAGCAATTATTGTTATAAAAAAATATCTGTCTTTGCTTTGAAATTAAACAAACAATAAATAGTTACCTGGATTCATATATTTCCACTTAACGAAAAGAAAAAAAACTTGTTGCGTCTCTGCATTGGAGCTGCTAGGACGAAACTCTTGAACAAGGGGAAACCAATTCCATACTGGAACGAAGATCTGACGTAGGCAAACGACCAAAAAAAGCTGGTGAGACATCCTATATATGTCTTCAAAATTGTACCATGCTCTGGTACACCACACAAATTATTTTTTCTACTGCCACATATTTCCACTAAAAGGGCCAAAACAGAAGAACACAAATTCGACAGAGAATTTGTGGATCCATACTTGCGATCCACGCAGCGAACCAAGTAAAAATCTATTTGGTCACACCTGACTCCACCGACAGCCCAAGTACGAATGACGAATTTAAAAATTCGATTCGTTCCTAACTTGAAAATAAAATAAACGCTGACATTACAAAAACATAACGAAACAACGTAAAAGGTTCCATTTGCGACGTATAAAAATTAAAAGAAATCGCCGAAGTAAATATCTTTAAAATAATAAACAACTCTCAAATGGTTTTATTACTTGGCAATGTTAAAATGATTGAAAACACTTTTGCGTATTTTAACTTGAAAGATACGAACTAACAAACATGGAAAAAATTCTTCGTTTTATTTTTGAAACATATATAAGGCGATTTCCATTTATTTCATATACGAGGAGATTTCAATATACTTCAAAGAATCAATGAAATTGAAAATGCTACAAATTATACCTACATTACATACCTACATTATACATATTACACGTGGGAATAAATATCAACTGTTACAACTAATTATGCGAGGAAAGATTGAAGGTAGGCGCAGCATAGGTAGGAGAAGAATGTCATGGTTGGGAAACCTCAGGGAGTGGTTTGCTTGCACTTCCATACAATTGTTCCGAGCGGCAGCCTCCAGGGTCAAAATTGCCATGATGATAGCCAACCTTCGTAGCGGAGATGGCACGTGAAGAAGAAGAATACCTAGATTGCAGTCTTCTGGCAATTTTATTTGCTTTCAGATCAGTTCTACCAGTCTACATATACAGTATGTCAGGTTTTTTGACATGCTTTAAAAGTTCTGAAGGAATGCCATCTGCTCCAGAAGCTTTGTTTTCTTTCAATTTCTGTATAGCTTGGATGACTTCTACTTCTGTTGGGATGTTATCTTTCTCTCTTTCATTGTCAATGTCCTCGAGTTGGATTTCTGATTCGTGGAGCCCCGTCTCACCTCTTATATTTAACCTTTCCTCGAAGTTTTCTGCCCATCTTTCTAGTATCTGGTCCTGATCACCAATGATATCCCCTGTTCTGGTTAATCCTCTTGTAGAACTTTCGCATTTCTGCTTGTGCCTTATAGTTCTCTAGTTCTTTTAGTTGGCTCTCTATATGCTCTTTCTTCTTTTTTTTTAAGTATTCGTTTTTCTTTTCGTCTCGGCTGCCTATACTCTTCCTCTGTTTGTCTCGTTCTTCGCCCTTGGAGTCTTCTATATGACTGATTTTTTTTTGCGTTACTTGTGCGCATTCCTCATCGTACCAGTCTGACCTTATTTTTTTACGTTTTTGCTTTCCGATAACTTCAGTTGCCACTTCTTTCAATATGGCTCTACACTGCCCCCAATAGTTGTTAATATCTTCAACTATAACATCCGTGCAGCCTTCCAGCTTGCTTTCGAGACTTTCCTCGAATCTCTTAGCTATCACAGGGTTCTTCAACGCTTCTACTTTAAACCTTTCCTCTTTAACTCATTTTTCTTTCTTATCATTGGAGATTCTAGCTATTAGTTTAGCTCCTAGTAGGTAATGGTCCGAGTCTATGTTCGCCCCGCGTCTTGCACGTACGTCTATCACGTCGCTGAAGTGTCTTGCGTCAACCACAACATGGTCGATTTGGTTTACTGTATTCCCATCTGGACTTCTCCATGTTGCCTTATGTATATCTTTGTGCCTGAAGCATGTGCTGGCAATCACCATGTTCATTGAGGAGGCTAAGTGTATTAGTCGAGTTCCGTTGTTGTTTTACTCTTCATGTAAACCGTGAATTCCAATGGTTGGCATGTATTCCCTCTACTTACCTATGTTTGCATTAAAATCTCCTATTAAGACCTTTACGTAATTTCTAGGACAATGTTGTATGATATTTTACAATTGTTCATAAAATTGTTCGTTTTCTTCATCCGGTTTCTCCTCAGTTGGTCCATTTGCATTTATTATTGAATATTTAAACAATTTACCTCTGATTCATTATTTTGGATTACGAACCACAAAATTCCACATTTTTGTTCGTTCAACTTCTTTTTATTATTACTTATATTGTTTTAGTATTATTATATGTATTATGTTTTAAATTGTTTGTTTCAGATTCTGGGCGATGTGGGGCAATCCAAATATCTGGCAAAAACGTGAGCCAGTTCTTCAATATTGGCATCAATTGAGGGGGTCGATAAAATGATATAAATTTTAGTTTAGTTATTTTGAAATGTGTAAAAAGGAAATATTTAAATATAAAATATACTTATTAGTAGTTATGCCTTATTTGATTCACACAACAAAACATTCGATTCCTTTCATTTATTCAGAATAGAAAAAAATATTTCAAAGGTCTGTACATATAACAACATACAGAATAAAACAAGAGTGTAGTAAATTCTAGAAGGGTTTTAAGAAGGTCTTAGTTCAATAAAAATACCTCCCATAAGAACCAACATCACTCAAGTAGATGGTTATACATACAGTCGATGACGCCCCCCGAAAAAATATTAAATTCCCATAAAACATTTTCAGTGGCAACTACATTAGGAGCAAAAAATTCATTATTTTTCTTAATCAGTAGACTCATTTGTACCTTTCGGTGTTGGGCCGTTTATAATAAAATTCATTCAATTACAATATTTTATAATCTTCTGAGGTGTCCTAGCTCTTAACGAACTTTCTCCATTCCTTCCTATGGGATGCCATCTGTGTTGCTTCCTGCCAAGTCTTACCCTTACTCTGCAGTATCTGCAAGATGTCACTGTTCCATTCTTTAATGGGTCTTCCTCTTCTCTTCTTCCCTATTGGTTTGGCGTCCCAAACTCTTTTTACTTGTCTATTATTGTCCTTCTTCTTCTCTTAAGAGTCTTTCTCTTATTACTTCATTTCTGATTCTATCGGTTTTTTTTACTCCGATCGTTCTTCTGAGGTATTTCATTTCTGCTGCCTGAATTCTGCTCTGATGTCTTTTGTTTAATATCCAATTTTCTGCTCCATATGTCACTGTAGGTCTATATATTGTTTTGTATATTGTCATCTTGGTCTTTGTTGACATTTTTTTGTTATTAAGGAATCCTCTATTTAGTGCTTGGAATAGTTTTCCTGTGTTTTCCATTCTATTGTTAAGATCGTCCTCGATGTCTCCTTTGTTATTTATTACTGTTCCTAAGTATTTGTATGAATTTGTCTGTATTATTTTTTGTTGGTCTATCATTATTTCTAGTTGATCTTCCGTCCCTTGTTTCCTTGATATTTTCATTATCTGAGTCTTCTCTTTGTTTACGTTTAAGTTGTATTTGATTACTTCTAGGTTCAATTTCTCTAAGTTGTATTTCATTTTTTCTGCTGTTTCCGCAATTAATACTATGTCGTCTGCAAATATACACATCTCAGCGTTTATCATTTGCATTCTGTTCCAACCGATGCAGTATTTCTTGAATGTTTTCTTACATTCTTTCACTATCTCATCTATTACATTTATGAATAGCACTGAGCTGAGACTTCCCCCTTGTCTAACTCCTTGAGCGATTTGTTTCAAATGGTTCTGACTGTATATTTAACATTCATGCTGTATTTGTTGTTTTCATGTGTGTACTCTTTGTTGCTTCTATCAGTTACTTACTTCTTCTTTAGGCTTTCCCATATATCTTTTCTTTTGGCTGAGTCGAAAGCTTTTTCCATGTCTATAAAACTCAGATATATTTCTCTATTTTTCTTTAAGGCTTTTTGTATTACTTGTTGCAAAAAATTCATTAACAAATCTTAAAATATATAAATGGTTAGTTTTGTCTAACTGTTGACTTGCAATTAAATAAGGTTCGCTAGGTTCACCTAAGCGCATAGATCCTATTAATAAATTTATAATGTAACGTCCACAAGGATTGTAGTTTTATCTACAATAAAATAAATCTTATCGATGTTCTACTATCTTCTTGATTTTTTTATGGTATTGTTGTAGATTTGAAGTATGTAATTTTTTCTCATTATACTTTCATCGGGAACAATGTTTTGGAATATGTTTCCAACAAACTTTTAAGAATAGGATTTTTCAGTTTTTTTAAAGATATGTTTGCACGAATCATCGCCTAGCATAAATTCATGGGATGAAGTCGTCAACGATTGTCCACTGTCAATGGGTATAATAACTGAACAACTTTCGATTCCCTCATCTTATTGCATTTTGACTAATGTAGTTTTGTCCCGAAGTGTTGTGTGACCGAAAATTTTTGCTGAAATGGTATCCACGACAATAACACGTACTTTTTAAAACTATTTAAACGAACTAGTTGGGGGAAATTTGATTTTAACACAGCTTGAAGATTCTCTTATGAATTATCTTTAGAAATAATTTTAGGAGATGACTCATGAGGCTTATAGTATGGTAATCTTTCGCATTTTTTGGCTCCTGGTTTTTTTAGAAGTGCAATAAACTCAGATTTCAGCCATTCTGTTGGTATTTCCCCAGAGTTGTATATGTTGGTTAATATATTTGCGATTATTGCTATTGATTTGTTGTCAATTAGTTTAAGGAGTTCTTCTTGTATATTATCAGAGCCTGCCGCTTTGCCATCCTTTAACTGTGTTATTTCGGAATAAACAAGCTTCCTGCTGTAATATTCTTGGTCCATCATTTAGCTCAAAGGTGATATCTCTTTGGTCTTCAAATAGTTTTTCTAGATATTCTTTTCACGCTCTTATTTTACTCTGTTTGTCCAAGATGATGTTTCCGTCAGAATCAGGTATATTTCCTTTCTGCCTTCGTCTTAGTCCCCCTGTGACTTTTTTTAACTTTTCTATGTACATTGTGACTATCGTACTTTAACTGCAGAGTCTCAATTTCTTCGCATCTTCCCCTTGCTTCTTTTTCTTTCGCTTCTCTGATTTTCGTTCTTATTAATTTATTTATGGTTTTATATTTGATTGGGTCTTTTTTGGCTTCTCTTCTCTCGTCTATTAGTTTCAGGATCTCATCTGTCATCCATGATTTTTTCTGCATTAATCTATCTGTCTTTAAGTGTTTATCCTTGTTCTTTCCTTTGTTCCTTTGTTCTTCGTTCTATTTGTCTCTAATTGCAGACACTTGCTCGTTTTACGTGGCTTGGACTCTCATCCTCGTATCAAGGTCTTTCAGCATACTTAGGTCGTATGATTGTGCTTTCTTTTTTGCACTGTTTTGAGTTTAACTCGAAATACTCCCACCAGTGGAACGTGATCTGTCTCCAGGTCTGCTCCAGGATAAATCTTGACAGATGTAAAGCTGTTTCTGAATCTGTTATTTACTAAAATGTAGTCTATTTGATTCCTAACAATTCTCCCGGGTCTGTCTTGAGGGGATTTCCACGTGTACAGCTTACGAGGTGGTAATTGGAAGATGTGTTGGTGACAACTAGTTCTAGGTCTTCTGCGAATTTTTCTCGGAGGTCTCCTCTCTCGTTTCTGACTCCAAGTCCATGTGCTCCAATGTACTATGTCTTATCTCCAGCTCCAATCTTGGCATTCAAATCGCCCATAATGATGAGAACTTCCTGTCGAGAAATTTTCTGTATAATACTGTTTATGTTCTGATAGAACTCAATTGCTTCTTCCTCTTCTTTGTCAGCAGTGGGATCATAGACTTGGATGAAGTTTATATTAATAAGGTTGGCTTCTACTTGTAGTAAAATCACTTTCTCTGATATTGGTCTAAAGTTAGTAAAGCATTTGGCAACTTCGGGTGATACGATTATTCCGACTCCATCCATTACTTTTTCCCGACAAATATACCTTGTTTCGTATACTAAAAATCAAATGAAGAGGTAATACGCAGAATAAATAACGATAAAGAAGTTATACTGAATAAACAAAAGAGTAAACTTGAATACTTAGGCCACCTGATGAAAGGACAAAAGTACACATTCCCACAAAATATAATTCAAGGAAAAATCCAATGACGCAGAAATTCAGGACGTAGAATAATGTCCTGGATGAGAAATTTAAGAGAGTGGTTTGGCTGTACCACTAACGAATTATTCAAAACAGCAGTATGTAAAATTAGAATCTTCTTTCTTTGCCCAATCCGTTTCGGACGTTGGCTATTAACAAGGCTATTTTGACTTTGGTTTACGGCACCTCTGAACAGTTCGGTTGATGTTAGTCCGAACCATTGTCGCAAATTATGCATCCATGAGTGTCATCTTCTTCCCGGTCCCCTCCTACTGTCGATTCTTCCTTGGACTATTAACTGTAGCAGCCGGTACTTAGTATGCCTCATGACATGTCCGAAGTACTCAAGCTTCCGTTTCTTTACGGTGAAGATTATTTCTTTGGTTTTGTGTATTCTCTGCATTACTTCCACGTTAGTGATGTGGTCTGTCCAGGATATCCGAAGAATAGGGCGATATATCCACAGCTCAAAGGATTCTAGTTTCTTCAGGGTGGCTTCCGTTGTGGTCTATGGCTCTGCTCCATAGAACAAGACCGGGAAGACATAACACTTGACCAGTCTTAATTTTAGTTCCATTGAGATTTTGCTTGTGAACCACTTTTTCATATTGTTGAACGCGTTTCGCGCTTTTTCAATTCGTGATCTTATTTCTGTTAACTGGTCCCATTTTGTGTTGACTGTGGTTCCAAGGTATGTGTATGTCTCCACTTGTTCTATTTTTCGGTTGTTTAATGTCAATTGCATCGGAGGTTGTTGTGTTCTGCTGATGAACATACATTTAGTTTTGATTGTATTGAGTTCTAAACCATATTCTTGACTTGCTGTGTGTATGCTTTGCATGAGTCTTTGAAGCTCGTTGCAGTCATTTGCGATAATAACTGTGTCGTCAGCATATCTACTATTATTGATTACCTCTCCGTTTACTTTGATACCCTCCGAAACTTCTCCCAGTGCTTCTCTGAATATTTGTTGAGAGTATATATTGAACAGGAGCGGCGACAGGACGCATCCCTGTCGTACACCCTTTTTAATATCTATCTTCCCACTGTGTAAGTTGCCCATTTTTATCTCAGCACTTTGGTTCCAATAGAGACTGGTTATTATGCGCAGATCCTTGCCATCAATATGCATCTTCCTGAGCATTTCCATGAGTTTATCATGTTTGACCTTGTCAAACGCCTTGGAGAAATCGATGAAGCACAACTGGACGTCCTTGTGCATGTCTCTGCATCTTTAAATTAAAACTTGCAGACTGAAGATCGCCTCTCTTGTGCCCAATGCGCTTCGGAATCCGAACTGTGATTCCGATATATTTGTTTCGCATTCGTTATATATTCTATTGTGTATGATTTT